CATAATACTGAATATTTTAACCAGCAAATGACCTCGCCACTGCCAATAGCTGAGCTGCCAGCCTGTAAACTCGACAGGTGAATCCGACGTTGACGAATAAGAACCTTCAGATAGCAACGTTCATCGATAAATATATGTCATTTTTGATAAAAGTCAAGTTGTATCTTCAGAATTAGTTCCATAGAGTAGCTGTGGTGCAACAGTTTTCAAGTGATGCAAATATGCGGAATATATGCCGTAGATTGTAGAAGAATTATAGCGGGGTCTGCTTCATCAGGCGGTTGGCCTGTCGCTGATTCTTAAAATCGCAGAATATTCACAGCTAGTTGATGTCTCAACTACGCTAACACTGCTCCAATTTTGCTTGCTCAACCCCTTGGCCCCCTCGTCAACTCTGACCAGAAACTCGAGCAAAAAGCTAGGTTCGAACCCGCGCCTCTCTGCTCCAATCCTAGTCCTGAACTGTAACTAACGGGCCACCCTGCCACTACATCCTGCCCTAGTACCACACCGCCACTGAGCCACCTTGGCCTAGTACCATTGCACCCTGCCACGGGGTCACTCTGCCCCATAGTTACCGCCATGCCCCATATGATAAAATAGTAAGTAAAGAGGATCAAAGTTACACATTTTATCACAAATCGGCCGAAAAACAAAAGCGGGGTGTTTTGAGGACAAGTTCATGATTCATAAAAGTGGGGCCTCAGAAACTATCAATTTTTCGAAGTGCACAGCTGGTCGAAGAAGCTTACGCACGTGGCTGGAAGTTGACGTCCGTTGACTTGTACTCTGGCTTTACAATAAGTTATTGAAGATGGAACTGAAAGGTGGTCTACAATTTCGATAGTTATTAAACTTCCCGTCATCTAATTTTACCTGATTGAAATAAGTACTGAATTTTGCATTGTATAAAAAGTTAAATTTTTAATTGATAAAAGTTTTATATAGAGTACGTTTTGCCAGAAATATGTGTACACTAATCTTGTAGCACTGTCACTTATTTTTGCAAAGGAAATACTACTAACCCACTAGACATCTGTCATTGAATCAGCTTCGAAATAACTTTTGTTTGGCTGAATAACTAAATAATTAATTAAATTGTTAATTGAATTGAACAAGTGATAAAAAATAAATTAAATAAATAAATTACCTCATAAAATTAATTAATTATATAAAAGTTTTACTTATTAATACAAAATATTAAAAAAAGTTAATTGAACGCTTTGACGTCATTTGCCGGGTGGGAAGCAGCGAGTAATGAAGACAAAGCAGTTTTCTTTATTATCGCATCACATTTTCATTGTTTGCCAGACGACGTTTGCNTTAACTACCTTTGCCTTTAACTACCTTTGCCTTTAACTACCTTTGCCTTTAACTACCTTTGCCTTTAACTACCTTTGCCTTTAACTATCTTTGATGTGTACTATCATTGTTGTGCGTTAATTATTAGGATCTTTTCAACCTTATATATATATGTGTTCAATTTACGTGCTTTGTTCAATAAATAATTATTTAGTATGCTTTCATTTCTCCTTTGTTAAGATCGGTGGCAGTTTAGGGTTACTTGTCGAATCTACTTGGAGTCGTCCTTTACTTGAACCTTACAAGGTTATTTATTGAATTAAACAATTAAAGACAAAGAACATGGCCACCGCAACGTTGGAGTGGGAAGTTTGTTACGAAGAATTCAACACGGGCAACAACAAGCCGCTCTGCCTGCCCTGCGGCCACTCATTTTGTTTTTCCTGCATTTCAAATTTTCAAATGGCTTCTGGAAACAGAATTTGCCCTAAATGTAAGAAAGGAACTTCTCAGCCTATTGACCAAATGTTAGTTAATTACGCATTAATTCCATCAGAAAACGAAACAATTCAACGCATCAGGTCACCACCGTCAGAGATATTGTGCCCTCATCAAGCAAAAGACTTGATTTTTTTGTGCGTTGACTGCATGGAACTCGTGTGCTTCACATGCACAAGGTGCACGCACGCCACGCACAAAGTTGAGTTTTTAGACGACTTGCTACACGCAGATGAAAGAGTTGAGGAATCTAGAGTGAAAATACGTATAGCAATGCAAGGCAAACTTGACAACGTTAATAATCTAGTCTCTGCATCTGATGGTGCCTTGAATTTGATTGATGAAATCCTCAACCTGAAGACAGATTTTGAAGGATGGAAGGATGCGTTGCTGGCCCAGAAAGTGTCCACCGAGCAGGACCTCCAGGCCTGGGATGTCCAAGTAACAAGTGTAGATGAGAACACGAGACAAGAATGCAAGGCAATTCTTAGTCGCCTTAAATTGAAACCTCCAGAAAATATAACGATAACTGAAATCAAAGAGAGGTTAGATGCCGCAGGCAAGAAATGTGATTCGTTAGAGGTTAGTAATTTATAAAATATTATGTATTTCGTTTAAAAATACATTTTCCTAACGCACTCATTATTTCCACAGGCCATATTAAGATGTCACCGGACGTGTGCCGCTACCTTTAATCTTGTCAGAATGATCGGAGCTCCACGGCCAAACGCCGGCGACTATCTTATAAAAAGTTCAATGATTTTCGCTAAAGCTATATTGCACATTATTGCACTGGGATGTCTTTCATTAAAACTTCGGTTAACACGGTAAAACTTAGTTTTATTTCAGCAAAACACTTCAAAGGGATCCGTTTAAAAATATTACAGAACAAGCACGATGGACATTACACTGCTTGATGGAGCATATAGAGCACAGCCACAGTAACTAGCGCTAGGGATGGACCCTGGCCTGTCAGCCTGGACCCTGGCCTCTTAACCTGAACTCGGGCCTCTCAGCCTTTACTCTGGCTTCTCAACCTGGACCCTGGCCTCTCCACCTGGACATTGGCCTCACAACCTTGGCCCTGGCGTCTTTTGCCCAATATCCGTGATGTTTTCCCAACATCAAGGATGTTGGAAAAACACGAAATTTATTTGAAAAATTTAATCTCGAATAAGGCATTTTTGCTAAAATACTAGAGTTTCTTGCAAATTTCTCTGACTTCTTATTGTTTCTAGCAAAAGTAATGTATAATATGATAATTAACTAAGCCAGCTATATAATATCATCCATATTTTGCGCTCAAAAGACTAAATAGATCAAATACGGTCGCGTTTAATGTTGGGGTCTCGTAAGACCAGGTGGACAGAAATGTCACCTTACAATTTTTTTCAATATAAAATTTTCAATTTTCCATACTCATCTATACACTAATTAGTGACCGTAATCACTAGAAATTATAAAAAAAATCTCTACGTGCTATAATGTGGTCGTTAAAGGGATAAGTTTTAGTACAAACTTCATGTATTGCGTTGTTAATGATTTCTCAGTGAAATTGTAGTTTCGGATCAGACCTCTTAATACTATCAATTAAATGATTTGAATTTTTAATGTTAGATTCGTCGGCCAATTATTGGCGCAGGAGAGAGGCAGTGCGCCGGCCGTGGCGCGGTCGTGCAGCGAAGTTTGGACCAGAGTCACGCGGCGCCCACGGAAGGAGTTGCCACAGGGGATTGGCCAATGTTACCTAATCCGGTAAGTCTTTTACTAACACAAGGTGTCACTCAGTGAATTGATTAAATATGAATTGACAACATTACAGTGGGCCGGAGTTCGGGAAACCATTAGCCCAGGTATTTCATCCTAATGCATTGTTCGAACCCGAGTTGCCAGATGGGCCTTTTTTAGTCGAATTCGTCCATTCGGGCCTTTTTTTCTAATTGCGTTATCCGGCCTCCGTCTAAATTTTGTTAGGAATCTTGACATGAAAACTGTGTCGTGTAGCACCAGCCTTTGTTTTCGGACTTATCTGCAGTTCTTAGCGGTTGAGTTCATGCCACATGGTGAAGTATGGACAATAACCAACACCGATGAGGGAGAGCGAGCCCTCGCCAGCCTGTACAGCAACAGGAAGCCCAGTCGCCTCGTGGTGCTGTCCACCCACACTCTCCCCATCCCGGGGCTGGGGGACCTGCTGTCTCGCCTCACCATCCATGACACCGGTGACATCAGCCTGCTGCCCCTGGACTCCTTCTGGGCGCCGGCAGGACAGTCGGATGACGACCTGACAACAATTATCCGAAAGTTGGGGTAGGAATTATTTATTCTTCAACATGGACAAAATTGCAGCTTAAAATTATTGTTAGTACGTGTTGACCTTTAATTTAAGTTCTTAGCTGCACCATAAGAAATATTTTAAAATTTCATACATTAGTTGGATCCCAGGTTGAACTTATTTCAAAATATACTAAAATTTTATTTGAGTGATGGAATCTACATAGAATGTCGTCAAGATACCAACGCTAGGACGAAGAAATAATTTAAGTAAAATAAATGTGCAAAAACGTGTGAAATCATAATTAAATATGTTTATCAGAATATCTCGTAATTAACGTGTATCCATTTAAATAAAACTTTGAATCAAACTTTAACTCTGAAATCAAACTTTTGAAATTTTTAATATGTTTTTGGATCATGCTGTCATGAGTTGCGTAGTCACCGAGCGACTTTAAGAAATTCTGCAGTACTTTCTTTCCACTCGCCGTCTTAAAGCCATAATGCCTGCCCTTTACTATATACGCCGCCTCAATGCTTGCCATTGATTGTAGTGAACGCCTTAAATCCTGCCCTTGATTGTACAGGGTGCGGCGTGGGAACTTACTCTTTTAAAAAAATCACAAAGTAAAAAGTATTAAAGATAGCGTTTTAATTCTTTCTTTTTTACAAAGAGCTACATTTAAAGTTTCGTTGGGTTTACTTACAAGTTTAATTCTTGAATATTACATCTTGTAGGTGACCTCCATGCCTGTCTCTTATACACATCTAGATGTGTATAAGAGACAGCTCCACCTTCTCAAGCATGTCTGGACCAATGTCAGCAATAGCAACGCGAATGTTGTTCTTCAGTTCAGCTAGGGTCCTCGGACGATTGGTGTACACTAAGGATTTCAAGTATCCCCACAAAAAATAATCGCAGGGGGCTAAGTCCGGCGAGCGCGCTGGCCNAGGTGGTGGTAGGTGTTGTCTCCAAAATTGGCGGTAGGTGTTGGTCTCCAAAGGTGGTGGTAGGCTTTAGTCTCCGAAGGTGGTGGTAGGTGTTGTCTCCGAAGGTGGTGGTAGGTGTTGTCTCCGAAGGTGGTGGTAGGTGTTGTCTCCGAAATTGGCGGTAGGTGTTGGTATCCATAGGTGGTGGTAGGTGTTGGTCTCCGAAGGTGGTGGTAGGTGTTGTCTCCGAAGGTGGTGGTAGGTGTTGTCTCCGAAATTGGTGGTAGGTGTATGTCTCCTAATGTGTTGGTAGGTGTTGATCTCCGAAAGTGGTGGTAGGTGTCTGTCTCCTAATGTGTTGGTAGGTGTTGATCTCCGAAAGTGGTGGTAAGTGTTGATCTCCGTAGGTGGAGGTAGGTGATGTCTCCGAAAGTAGTGGTAGGTGCTGGTGCCCAACGGTGGTGGTTGGTAGGCATTGGTTTCCGAAGGTGGTGGTAGGTGTTGTCTCCGAAGGTGGTGGTAGGTGTTGCCTCCGAAGGTGGTGGTAGGTGTTGTCTCCAAAGTTGGTGGTAGGTGTTGTCTCCAAAGTTGGTGGTAGGCGTTGCCTTCGAAGGTGGTGGTAGGTGTTGCCTCCGAAGGTGGTGGTAAGTGCTGGTCTCAGAAGGTGGTGGTGGTAGGTGTTGGTCTCCAATTGAAGGTGGTGGTAGGTATTGTCTCCGAAGGTGATGTAGGTGTTGGTCTCCGAAGGTGGTGGTAGCTTTGTTGGGCTCCATAGGTGGTGGTAGATGGTGGTCGCCGAAGGTGGTGGTAGGTGTTGGTCTTCGAAGGTGGTGGTAGGTGATGTCTCCGATTTGGTGGTAGGTGGTGGTCTCCGAAGATGGTGGTAGGTGTTGGTCTTCGAAGGTGGTGGTAGGTGATGTCTCCGAAGTTGGTGGTAGGTGTTGTCTCCGAAGGTGGTGGCAGGTGTTAGTCTTCGAAGGCGGTGGTAGGTGATGGTCTCCGATGTTGATGGAAACGCCAATAGGAATGTGAGGAGAGCGAGTAGCTGGCACATGAAAAACAGTTAAGAGGACACAACAAATTATCATAGAAAACTAAAAAACATGCGTGGCGAATAATTCGGTTCCTGGTATTTTTGGGGTTTAGTTTGGGTTAGATTGGAGAGGCAGTGAAGGACCTGTCAGGATGTCGAGGCTTCATGGATTTGCACATAGAAATTCAAGGTCATGTTAACAAATAATTATATTCGACATTATTTTTCATAGATGGTCACGCAATTGCAGAAAGGAGGATAGTTTTAATGAAATGTATTTCCTGGCGATTTTTATGCAGGATCTCATGCCGGCTACAACCAAGGAATAGAGGACAACGCAGGCGCTTGGAAGTTCGGGCTTCGTTTGACCAGCGTTCAAGACGTCGAGCGCTGTAAAAGTTTGCCACAGCGTATGGGTTAGTCGCATATGTTACTTTAATAAAGTTGATACACTTGAAGCAAAACAATTGCACGGCTTCGTAACTAGGCATAACTGATGAATTTTGGAGCTTAGTATTAACTGTCAGTTTTTATCGAAACAAGCTGCGCGAAAATTCGGAAAACTTCATATTACTGAATATTTTAACAAGCAACAGACCTCGCCACTGCCTGATAAGCTGAGCTGCTAAACAGCCTGTAAACCTGACAGGTGAAGCCGACGTTGACGCATAAGAACCTTCAGACGAGAGGCGTTCAGCGATAAATATATGTCATTGTGGATAAAAGTCAAATTGTATCTTCAGAGTTAGTTCCGCAGAGTAGCTGTTGTGCAACCGTTTCCCACGTGATGCAAATATGCGGAATATATGCCGTAGACTATAGAAGAAGAGTTACAGCAGTGTCAGCTTCCTCAGGCGGTTGGCCTGTTGCCGATTCTTAAAATCGCAGAATATTCACAGCTAGTTGCTGCCTCGACTATTCTAATTACTGCTCCAATTTTGCTTGCTTAACCTTTTGGCCCCTCGCCGACTCTGAACCCTGCCACTGGACCATTCTGCCCTATTACCACCCTGCCACTGGGTCACCCTGCCCTATAGTACCACCCTGCCACTGGGTCACCCTGCCCTATAGTTACCCGCCCTATAGTTACCCTATAGTTACCGCCCTGCCCGAGTATAAAATAGTAAGTTAAGAGGATCAGAATTACACATTTCATCACAAATCTGCTGAAAAAGAAAAGGGGGGGGGGTTGAGGACAAGTTCATGTTTCATAAAAATCTGGCATCAGAAGCTACTAATTTTTCGAAGAGCACAGCTGGTCGAAGAAGATTACGCACGTGGCTGGAAGTTGACGTCCGTTGACTTGTACTCTGGCTTTACAATAAGTTATTGAAGATGGAACTGAAAGGTGGTCTACAATTTCGATAGTTATTAAACTTCCCGTCATCTAATTTTACCTGATTGAAATAAGTACTGAATTTTGCATTGTATAAAAAGTTAAATTTTTAATTGATAAAAGTTTTATATAGAGTACGTTTTGCCAGAAATATGTGTACACTAATCTTGTAGCACTGTCACTTATTTAAGCAAAGGTATACTAACCCACTAGACATCTGTCATTGAATCATATTATCGCATCACATTTTCATTGTTTGCCAGACGACGTTTGCTGCGTTCAAGGAGCGCCTGCAAGCCTTGGCACCTTCCTGCAGCATCGCGGCTGCGCGGTCACCCGCTGGCACTTCCCCGACCTCTGGGACGAGGACCTGGACTGGGTGTCACAAATCTTGTTCCCCTTCAGCGCCCAGAGGTTGGTATGATTCATAATTCATAAATAATTTCATAATTCATAAATAAATAATTCATTCATAAATAATTTGCGTGAGCCTACCAATTATTTAAAATTCTATTTGTCATTGTTATCAATAAAATATTTCCGATGTCCCGATCAAACATGCATCTATTTCGTTGCATTTCTTAGTCACAGAGGCAAAGCATTTGACTAGCGCATTTTCATCTAACAATTTTAAAACCTTATAAGGCCACTTGTATTAAACTCATTTGTCAACTTTCCCTTCACACATCGAAACCAAAATTAAAAATTTTGAAAACGGCAAACTCTTCATTTTAGGGGGGTATACGGAAAAAATCAGGAATTTTGGCCCTCTCGGTTTTTATGCTCATCTTGAAGCTGCTTTTCTGACGCATTCAACGGTACCAAAATCATCTCTGTACGTTGATTTATGCGTTCGCGACAGATCCCGTAAGGGGGGGAGGTGCCTGGGCCCCTTCAGTAAAGTTAAGGCGGAAATTACCCGACCGGGTGCCATAGAGGGGATCGTCCGACGTAAAGCGGACAAGTATGATATTCTTCAGTTCTTATACTCATCTTAAAGCTGTTTTTCTGACGCATTCAACGATACCAAAATCATCTCTGTACGTTGATTTATGCGTTCACGGCAGATCGCGAAAGGGTGGGGGGTGGCGGAGTTCTTCAACATTTAAGATACGGGGAAATTAGCTGCCGAGATCAGCACTATGTATAGAGTGTCTGCTTGAGCTGCACTTCAGTTACCAGCCTGGCATCGTATGGGGTGGTGTGCATGCAGTCGTTCTCACCATCCTTGAATGGAATCGAGCTCCAGTAACTTTTAGTTTTGTGTCCTTGCTGCATTGAGTGCCTATTCCCATGCGCGCCGGACTAATTGTCGGGCTCTCCTGAAAAGTTGCACCTGCTCTCACTGCAAACCTATCTCCTTCTACAGTTTTCAAGCTACAGCGATGAGACATATACCATTCGATTCGTAAAGACCATACCTATCGAGTAACTAAGCTCTTTTTTAGCGCATTTTCTCATTTATGGAAAAATGCACTATTGTGCTCGCCATGTCCGTCTGTCTGTCTGTCCATCCGTCTGTCCATCCGTCCGTGACCTCAAGTTTTCGTCGACGAGAAAATGCGCTCTCTGTCACTCACTACAGTGAGTACTGAGTTATATTTTTTTAGATTTTTGTATAGTTTGGATTGAAAATGGGGGGGAGGGGTGGGAAAATCAGAAGAAGATGAGAAGAAAACGGTAAAATGAGTGTAAAAAACTAAGGCAAAAATCAAAAATAGGGCTTAGTTACTCGATTGGTATGGTCTTTACGAATATGGAATCGAATCATCGCTTTAACTTGAAAACTGTAGGAGGAGATAGATTTTAAGGTACCTCCTTTTTGTCCATTTTCTGTGAATTTCATGTTTTCTATGAATTTTTAAAAAAAAAATCCTATGAACAAAATGTCCTTGTATTTCGGTTTTATATATACCTATGTGTGAAGTTTCAGAAAGATCCGTTAGTAAATGTGGAAGTTTTTCTGGAGGGTATACCCCCTCCCCTTAATTCAGCTTAGGAGGTACTGAGTAATTTTTCCGTTCGAAAGTTGTTACTATTCACTTGTACGTAAAAACAAGTCCTAGAAATTCTTACTGACAGTATTTCAAATCAAAATTTAGCGTTTATTTGCTTTTTGTTTACTTTCGTCACAGCTTCAGTTTGGTCCTGCCTAGAGACTGCCTTACGGACACGGGCGCTCGTCGACTGTTCCAAATCATACCTCAAATAAAGATTGTATACCACGAACCTGACTCCGTGCACCTGATGTCAGCTGGTAGAGAAAGGTCTACAAGTGTGACCCTCATCGGCTTGTCGACCAACAGCATCACTCAATGGTTATAAAATGTTGTGAGTACGCCGCATATTCCTACTTAGTCGTGCATGGTAGGTGGTGTTATTTCCATTATTGTAATAGATTTGAAGCAGCTGATTAAATCTTAAAGGAAGATTTCAAGGCGAAAACGTCATCACTTAACTTAATGTTAAGTGATGACGTCATCACTTAACTTAATGTTAAGTGATGACGTCCTCACTTAAAACTTAATGCCGAAAAGATTGACTTTTAACATAAGAAACAATTGGCATAAATAAAACTTTTGATTGTAAAATACAGAGGAAATAAATTAGCGACACTACGTTCAAATCATGATAGTATACATAATATATCTTTAATCCAGAGGGAATGATTTTACAGCACTCTATCCAATTAACGGAATTTTCTCAAATCCTAAGGGAATAGATTTTTGACATGATATCACACTCAATTTTAAACCTACCAGATACAGAAAATTGTTACACACATTCTTTAATTGCAAGAATTCTTCTCTCAGTATAGAATAGGCATTTGTAAGCCCATCCGATTGTTAAAATAGTCAACTTGTAGTATCATTGCGAGCTCCAAAATTAAGTCGTCAAGACACGATGAAATCCTGGACTTGCAATTTAACCCTTCGCTCTCCGACAAACAGGAGTTGCTTGTTTAATTTATAATGCGAGATGTGTAATAATCTCGTCTCTTGATTAATATTCGTGAAAAATTTTGTCCTACTCTTGCAATATACAAATAAATGTTGCATTCAACAGAACCCATTTCACGTATACTGTAAATCATTACCCTAATGAATACAACCTGTTTTCAAATTTTTCAGATACGTTTAATAAATGTCTAATGAAATCTGAGAAATGGGATACGTTCAAGATTTGTGACTTGAATTTTCGATCACAGTAAAAAATCTTGCTTATATACAAGGATTTAGTACAGGATTATTAGGATCAGGGTATCACCTGCGGCCCGAAATAACTTTCGTTTCGAGAGAAGGAACTAACCGTATCACCTCTACTACTCCTCCATGAGGGGTAGAACCTGAACATTAATGCAGTAGGAAATGTGGACGATACGTGGGACATACGCAGAGGCGCGGTCAGACCTTTTGTATTAAGCGGAGCGTCTTGACGGAAAATAACCTTCTTTATTTACGCACGGTTCACTTTGAAACTTGGTACACATATGTAAAACAGAAACCTATTTTGTTCCTGCCAATTTAAAAAAAATGAAAGAAAACGTGAAATTCTTAGAAAACGGACAAAAAGGGGGCAATGTAGGAATTTATCTCCTAGGATTTTCAAGCTACAACATCGAGACGCATATCATTCGATGCGTAAAGACCATATCTATCGATTATTTGCAGATTTTTTTCGAAATTCGAATTTTTGTGGGTGGGGGGAGGGCATTTTTCGTAAATTTGTCGAGAAATTTTTTTTCCCCCTTTTTCAAAATATTTTAAAACTATAACGAAATTGAAAAAAGGTACGACCAATCTCTAGATCTTTTATTTGCGAATCGAGCGGTATATCACATCGCTGTAGCCTTAAAACTCTAGGAGGAGATAGGTTTGCAGTGACAATAAGTGTGAATGTTCAGTAGAGCGCGACAAAGCCCCGAAATAGGCATTCAAGGTGGCAAGGATACCAGAGAAGACGCTACTTGATTCAGTCAAGGATAAAGGGAACGACTGCATGAGCACCATTTCGCATGACAGCTGCCGGGTAACCAAGGTGCAGCGTCTACAGACCTGCCATTTATGTGCCCGGCCGGTAATTTCCGCCTATCTTAAATGTGAAAGAACTCCTCGACACCCAACCCTTTCGCGATCTGTCGTGAACGCATAAATCAACGTACAGAGATGATTTTAGTACCGTTGTATTTGTCAGAATATCAGCTTTAAGATGAGCATAAAAACCGGAAAAGTCATAATTTTTCATTTTTCAGCAGACGCTCTCCTTAAAACCATAGGTCCTGTCCTTAAAACCAAAAGTCTTGTTTGGTTTATGTGGTAACTTTTCTTTACTCATATAATATTGAATTTAATTTTTTACCAATCATTGAAAAATTAATCTTAATTTGAATGCCTTCATTAGGCAGCTCCACGCACGTTGATGAAGATTAATAACTTTTTTGTGGGAACTTTTCTTTCGGATTCAAAATTTAATAATGTATTAATACAAATTGGAGCGAATTTCTCCTGCCAATTGATTTTGTTTCTGAGCTCCCAATCGCCTGCCAGTTTAAGCCGAAAATGGCCATACGTACATGCCTTCAATGTTTACATCGTACTCAGCATATGGTGCCAAGTCGTTGGCGACTTGCTACGTACGACCTTGCTACGACCTTGCAGAGCTATCCACTCAGGCGTTCCCCAGGGCTCGGTGATCTCGCCAGCCCTCTTTAATCACTTCATTTCAGACATCCCTGTACCTACCACCAACATTGCCTCATACGCGGACGACCTTACCATCTTCGTGTCGTCCCCGAGACTCGATGATGCGGAGGCCGAGCTTGCCTCGCTCCTTCGTAACGTCTCCGACTGGTCGGCAGTCAAGAAACTGGCCGTGGCTCCTGGCAAGTCATCGGTCACGCTCTTCACCCCAGATACGCACCAATCCCGACTGACAAAGAGGAGTTGCTTGTTGAATTTATAATGCGAGATGTGTAATAATCTAGTCTCTGGATTAATATTCGTGAAAATTTTTGTCCTAATCCTGCAATATTCAAATAAATGTTTCATTCAGCAGAGCCCTTTCCGCGTATAAATCATTATCCTAACGAATACAATCTGTTTTCAGATTCTTCATATACGTTTAATAAATATCCAATGGAGTGAGAGAAATGGAATACTTTCGAGATTTGTGGCTTGAATTTTCGATCACAGTAAAAAATCTTGCTTGTAGACAAGGATTTAGTACAGGATTATTAGGATCAGAGATTATATACCTGCGGCCCGAAATAAGTTTCGTTTCGAGAGAAAGGACTAATCGTATCACCTTGTTGTGGATATTTCATAGTAACAATTATTAAATTTTCATTTAAACTTTACCGTTCCGCAATTTAGGTTTTGTATACTTTCAGATCTTATTCATTTATGTTTTAGTTACGAGCTGGTAAGGACTACTACCCGGCACAACGTAATTGCACACACGTGTTTTACTGAATATATTGTGAACTCAGTGTTTTATCTCAACTGAACCTTTTCACGGCCCTATCGAGATACAATGATAAAGAGGTAGTTCCCCAGCAACCTCTACTACTCCTCCATGAGCGGTAGAACCTGAACCTTGCAGTAGGAAATCTGGACGATGCGTTGGACATACGTAGAAGCGCGGTTAGACCTTTTGTATTAAAACCGAAGGTTATCAGTCCTGTTTGGTTTATGTGGTAACTTTTCTTTACTCGTAGTAATATTCATTTTATTTTTTTATTAATCATTAAAAGATTAATCTTTATTTGAACGCTTTCTTAATGTAGCTCCACGCACATTGATAAAGATTAATAATTTTTTTTGTGGAAACTTTTCTTTCGGATTCAAAATTTAATAATGTATTAATACAAATTGGAGCGAATTTCTCCTGCCAATTGATTTTGTTTCTGAGCTCCCAATCGCCTGCCAGTTTAAGCCAAAAATGGCCATACGTACATGCCTTCAATGTTTTCATCGTACTCAGCATATGGTGCCAAGTCACGTTGCTGGCTATTCCTTGCTTGGAAACATTGATTAGTAGCGTCGGTTGTTAGCGACCGAACACCAAGTGCAACGCGCGTGACCCGTCGAGTTGTGGTGTCAGTGTTCACCCAAGTCATGTGATCGTGTCAGTAATCTTGGAGGCAGTCACACGTAGCGTGCTCGTGGTGACTGCTGGGCGTGTCGCGGACACCTGGAAGTGCTCCTGAAAAACGCTGTCTTGTGTGTTCTCCTGCTCATCAGTAAAAGATACGCTTCTTTCGTTATAACTCCTCAATAGACATTTTTCTGTGGATACTACTTTGTCAAAACTGTATTTGCCGTTTGTCATAAACATTGAGCGGCAGATTTAGTTTTCAAGTCTATCTCAAAGATAAAGTGATCGATAGGGTACTCGGTCTAAATGGTCTATATAATCACGTCCATAGCCATACATCGTTGACAACACAAGTTTGTTGTCGATTAGTTCAACGGAGCATTATTGATGAATTCGAACAATTACTTAATTACAGCACGATTCATCGTCATGCATAATTTGTATAATGATTGCCAATGCAGTATAATCTTGTGTATTTAAAATTAAAGGTAACTGGAATTTAACATGTGACTGATTGAATTTCAATCTCTGTATAAGCATAGTATCAATTCACTCGCAGTAGTGAAGGTCAGCAGTTTTTCAATGCCGTTTTTTTTTTTTTAGTTTGAGCTCTCGATAGGCGACGCAGGCTTTATGATCGACCTGCAGCAGAGACGTGACCATGACAACACGTCGCTGACAACGCCTGTTTGTAGTCACCTGACGACGCTTTACTGACTTCTACTGGAATGTGTCAGGAGGCGGTGTAAGAAAAATTTGCCCCTAGCAAATGTCAGAGCTCGCAAAATATATCTATGGTTTTAGTTTTACGACCTGTTTGTCGTCACCTGACGACGATTTATTAATTCTACTTGAATGTATCAGGAGGCGGTGTAAGAAATATTTGCCTCTAGCAAATGTCAGAGCTCGTAAAATTTATCTATGGTTTTAGTTTTGTGTCATCTCTATATAAGGTTTTTTCAAATTAATGGTCTTCCTTATGCAAGCTTCCGCTGTCACAAAGCTTATTTATTCATAATTTACTCTCAATTGAGTTAGTCAATATTTCATTATCGTATTTTAATAAGACCATTCATTATCTTAACGAGCACATAAATCCCACAGATAATATCTTAGAAAGAGAAAACAGCAAATTTTAACAGCACATTTTAACAGCAAATTTAACAGCACAATTTAACAGCAAATTTTACTCACTCATAAAAAGATTTCAACAAAAAAATGGCAACCGAAACGTTAGAGTGCGAAGTTTAATTGTTACGAAAATTGCAATTCCGGCAACAGCCGGAATTGCTTTGCCTGCAGTGCGGCCACTCGGTTCGCTTCTCCTGCGTTGCAACCCGTTGATCTAATCGCAACGTTGATCAACATCGCAACCCGTTGATCTAATGTTGGTATCCGCCAAGCTTAATTTCAGATGTAACAAACCTAGCCATTTCGGTAAATTCCGTCGATCTAAACTTGCCGCAAGTAGAGTTAATGCAAGTATGAACATTGTTGCCAAAGCCAATGACTTACCTGATCATTCTTACATAAACTTTGAGTTTAAGTGTTTATGAAAGATAATGGTAGATCATTCCTTGCCTGTAACATTTGGTTTTTTAATGGGAAAGAATTATGAAGGTATAGAAAAACAATTAGGAATCTTTCGATCATGCATCTGGCTGAGTTAATTTTATAAAGTTCGACATTGTCATTCCTGATTTATGAGACCTGTCAGAAGCGTTCTACATCAGATATCCTTTCATTTAATTCATTTTTAATGAAATGAAATACCTTAATGAAATGAATCTTATCCATAGAAGGCCAGCGACATGAGTGCTGTGGCGACTTGAGTGGTCTTGAGGTTTTTCAAGTAGTGTTCTAGCCCAGCCTACTTTGAGAATTGCTATCTGAACCTGTTACCAAAAGAAATTACTGAATAAACTGAAAGCAAAACGATCTGGTTTCAATGGATCAAATACACCATGACTCGACTGATGATTAGCAAGTTAATTACCAATTAATTAATTTCACCAGAATTTTTGTTGCACCAAAGCGACAACAAATTTGTTACTTAAATTTGTTGAAGCAAATGTTCTCCGCTTACAAAATTTTGCTTGGTAATCGACTTCTTACGACAAAACTGAAATTATATTAATATTTGAAATGTTTTACAAACTATTTATATCGTATTTATAATAAAGTACAATATCTAATCTCAGTACTGCTTGTCTAATTCTAACTATTAGAGAATTTTGAGACTATTACGTACGTGGACAATTTAATAAAATTATTAGATGTATCAAATCTGTTGCAAGTTTAAGAACTATTTTAGAACATGGAACAATTTTTTCAACACTAATATCAATAATATCGTTAAAGGTATCCATTGCAACAGCCATGCGTGAAAACTTTGACTCATTTTTCAATCGACCAACTTCGAGCATCATTATAGAAAGGTTTTCAACGACGGCTTTTCATAAATACAATTTAATTTCCTAAGATCAATTGCCAACCCTAACAGAAATGTTGGAAGTAGAAATTAACAAGTTTATTACACCAAATGGCAAACATCGAATTATAAAGAGAACACCAAGTATATCAAAATCACATAACATGAGTCAAATTTCATATCCTACGTAGCCTTGTAAAGATACAAAAATATCAGCTTCAGTGGCCGTATTAGGTCATTTTTCTATTGCATTCGGCGGCAAAATTCTATGCTAGACTTAAATGTATCGTATTTTGAATGTATGAAATGAACAGAAAACTTGAATTTTTGGGTTGCAAATTATGAATTTAATATTAAATAATGAAATTTTTGCCTGTTTCGGTGATTTTCGAGAGCAGATTTGGCAGTTTTCGCTTGCCAACATGTGACAACCTTTCGAAGTCTAAATCTAGAAAACCGTGTAATTTCAAGCTTGGCATTTGGAACTTTTTAGCAATAGGTAGAGTTGAAACATGAAAGCAGGTGCTGTTAGAATTGGGAATGAACATCGTAAGATAGTCTGACCTATCTGCTAGATATTAATACTTGAAAGTTTCATTATTTATCAAAGGGTTGGCTGAAATGCAGGAAATGCAGCCAGATGATTGGAAAACAGTCAATGCCGCTGAGTATTTGAAATCTATCTGATGTGTTTATCTCTAAATGAAATCGTCTGTTATTTTTTGCCTACCATCTGATAATTTAACAGGACCTGAATGCATACAGTTTGTATGAAGTATTTTGCCAAGAGGCAATCTTCTCAACAGATAGTTTAAACATGATTTTTTCTTAGTGTTATGTTAGCAGCACCTCGACATGGCAACCGCAATGTTAGAGTGCGACATTTGCACCGAAGAATTCGACTCTGGCAACCACAAGCCACTTTGTCTGACCTGCGGCCACACATTTTGCTTCTCTTGCATTTTGGAACTAACAACTTCATCCGATATTTGCATCTGCCCTAAATGCAAGAAAGAAACTGCCCAAGATATCGATAAAATATTGGTTAACTACGTATTAATTCCAACTGAAAACAAACCTTATCAACGCTTAGCACGTTCACCGTCAGAAACGCGATGTCTTCAGCACCACAAGACGCTGGATTATCTGTGCGTGGACTGCATCAAATTAACGTGCTTCAAGTGCACCAGGGACACGCACGTCACGCACAAAGTTGAGGCGATCGACGACCTGGTCAGTGGAGATGAAAGTGCTATGAACTCTACGAGGAAAATACAGACCACGATGCAGAATAAGATTTTCGGCTTGAAAAATTTAGCCACGGCACTTAATGACTTTTCGGGTTGGATTGATGACGCAATCAACGTGAAGAATGATTTGGATGAATGGAAAGAAGCGCTGCAGGTCCAAATAATTTCTGCCGACAAAGATTTTCAGGCCTGGAAGGATTTGGTCTCCAATGTCGACGAGGAAGAGAGACTTGAATGCATGGAAATTTTACGTCGCCTTAAATTAGAGCCTGAAGTATATTCAAAATTGCCCGAAATCACGGAGAAACTGGGAGCAGTTGTTGAGAACTACCGTTCGTTAAAGGTGAGTGAAATTAATTGAGTGTTCGGAAGCATTTCCATGAACTATAAATAGCACTAGTTACGGGAAAACTTCTCGGAGTTCAGCGAATAGGTTTTGTATTTAAGGGCTATAGAATGCTTTGCAGGAGAGCTTAAAAATTTCTTGCGTTTGGTGTGGATAAAATTAACTGTAAGTAGATTATATATTCTGGCGCATTATTAAATGAATACATCAAAATGAAAATACCTAACAATTTCGATATTATGCTCAAGGAATGAGCTGAAACCACTAACTTACCTGCAGATGCCATCAAATCCGCATAACCTCTTGCCGCATGGACAACATTGGACAGTAACTAACAGTGATGAAGGCGGGCGAGCTGTACGTAGTCTGTTAAACAACAGGAAGCCCAGCCGCCTCGTAGTGATATCCCTCCACACGGACCCCATCCCGAGCCTCAGTGAGCTACTGGCGCTAATTGTTTCCAACGACACCGGCGACCTGAGCTTGGTTAACTTGGACACCTTCTGGTGGCCCCCAAAGTCTGATTTTTATTGTAGTGTAGACTTCATCAAAGAGTTTGGGTGGGTTTGGGTTGGTGATGTTAATGTTAGATAGTTAATTATATATTATATTAAAGCAACGTTATTTATCATTTTAAGACAAATTTTTCTTGCTATCAATTTAAAGACGCCTTTCACTTCGACTTATAAATTCCCCTTTAGTGTTTTTTTTTTATTAACGAACCCTTCGCTTACAAAAATAGTAAATTTAAAAACTTTTCAAATTTTTTTAATAACTAAATTTATGAACCTGTTTATTAACAAGTCTCAAATTGAGCAGAAACCGCTTATGTTTGGTGAGAGGCTGTTCCTATGAATGTTTGAAGTAACTATGTTCAGCGACCATAGCACTTTTATTAACGACGTGCTGTTAATTTATTCACTGATATTACATAATCAATTAATAAATACTGGCAATTCATTATTTTTTCACCTCACTGCTCCCGTTGAGGTAGACGCTGGCTCAGCGCCGTGTACGGCACCCCATACGACCTCGTCTCCTACATGAGAGAGCGACAGCGCGAGCCCCGCATGTTCACCCGTTGAGGTAGACGCTGGCTCAGCGCCGTGTACCACACCCCATTCAACGTCTTCTACTACATGAGACACAGACAGCGCGAGCCCCGCATGTTTGGCCTCCGCTTCGAAGATGAGCGTGCCGTTGACTACTGTATAGAAAAGGAACTGCCTGCATGTGGTTAGTATGTATAGAGTTTATTTTCTACGTCGTCTTAAGTTGCAGGGTGTACTTTTTTAAATACTCCATCACGGCAGCTTAAAATGTTGCTTTGTTTACTAAATAAGACGGCATTTTCTTTTCAGGCAGGAAAACCAGTGACAAAATGCAGCTGAAACGCATTTTCATTTCATCGCGCTTTTTCTTAGGAAACAAACATATAAAAATCATTCTAATGGAAATTTAACGCCATAAATACACTTAGTCATATTACGTTTAGATTCGCATAAGATTTTAAGAAATCTCAAGTGAATGTCGAACGACCGTTTTGAGCTACCACTGCTCCACTGATAATTCATAGATCGATGACTTTAATTCATTGAATTCTGATAATTGACACGGCCTTGAGTGGGTGATGACCTAACCACGTTCATGAGAGGGTGGTGAACTAACCCCTAACTACCATTACCTCACTCCCAATTATCAATCGCCGTCAGCAACATTTAAGTCAGCATATTTGATAAGTGGATCATAAAAAATGCGTAAATCTTTTATCCGTTTCACTGAAAACATTGATTACCAGTTATGAGGAGATTAATGCATGTAATCAAGTTGTTAAATTTACTACTGTAATAGTTTTCGTTTAGGAATAAATTGCAAATTCCAAAACATGTTCATGATAATAACAGATGACGCGTTTAATCATTATAATAGTTTTTATTTTCAAAACAGGCAATAACACGAAGATTTTAAGAAAATTTAGTTCACTTACTAATAATCAAGTGATACTGCATATTAATAATAAATCTCTCGTCCTTAGCTGGTTCTATATATCTAGAATTTGTAATAAATGTATATTTTGTGTGACTGAATAACAATTAATGTTACAGAAGAGGTTTGCTGCGTCCAATCAGCTCCCGACAACCTTGGCACTAAACTTAAGGACCTCGGTTGGAAAATACGCCGCTGGCACTTCCCTCACCTGAGAGACGATGACTTAGATTGGATGTGCAACATCCTAGAACCCTTCAAAGATTGCAGGTGCGAATGAGGGAGCTATCATCTAAAGTTTGTATATTCAAGTCCGTCGATCAAAGCTGAGGCAGCCACTAAACTCTCCTACTCTGTGTCTCGCACCCAGCTCCCGGGTTCGAGTCCCACTGAGGACAAGTTCTTCCGGGAAGCTTAGCTCATGGTCAACTCAGCCATTCATTCAACTTTGGTTGATAAATGAGTACCTGGCTTGTCCAGGGTGTTGTGTAATGCAATATAATGGTTCTGGCGGGTCGCGAGATAGTTGTATGGTCGTAGAACTACCAGTGGCATTAAGTGCCATTAAAAACAGACGTATCACCCCCCCCCCTCCCTAGTTGCCACTACCAGGATGGGCAATTACAACAACAACTAAACTCTCTCCTGAGATTTATCGCAGGTTCATGCGAAATAACTTATTTGCAGCCTAAAGGTTACGTTTTTTTTATTTCCGGACATCCTTTTTCATCCTCTTAGAAGGTCGGGTGTTTCATACATTTTCTTGAAATCAAACCTTGAAGTAAGCAAATACGAAAAACATTATTAATTATTCATTCACAATTAGTGTAATCACCATTTAAAAATGATCGAAAATATGATAACATAGCAAATTAGACACCAGAAAAAAACACTCACTACGACTTACGGAAGAAGCTTTTTAAAAAAGTTTGCATCATACTATTTTGTTTGGGTTGTTTCGATTTGCAAAATAGTTATAACAAGATTGTTTTGTGTTTATAAGACATTATTGAAACGTGTAGAAATTATTTTGCTGTAGATTAAACTTTACTCAAGCTCCACCGAACTCATTACCGGCAATCAACACCCGCCCCTGATGCAGAGCGATTTTTCAGTCTGAGTTACGGGCTTACGGCAAAGAGAGGTTTGAATCACTCAAATGGATGCCCAATTCGTATATTTTTCTCGTGTACTAACATTTTTCTTGCTGAAATATAATTTATTTAGCTAGTAACTCTGCAACATTCCATACGCTGAGTTTCACCTTTCTATTAATATCTTTGTATGATAAAGCCTGTTTTAATGCGTCTCGAGTGTATACATCCACGCAAGTCTCGAAAGCGAACAGAAAGTTCGTACACTTATTTTTTGAGAATTCCAAATTTTGAGTCATTCAGGTGAAACGCGTTCCTTACATGAATAATTTTGTTGGTGCATAGTATCGAGTTAGAAGTTCCGAATCTAGAAGCGAAGCTTTGAACCGAAATACTTTCCTAAGTTTTTTTACTTCTACCCTAGTTTGAGCCTGGTCATCCCGAGTGACAAACTCACCGGATCGGGAAGTCGCCGGCTGGTTGAGATGTTGCCTAACGCAAAATACATTTACTGTGACCCGCGCCCTAAACCTCCTTCCTCTGCTTCTTCACAAGCATCGACGTCGACTGAAGATGCGGTGTCACAAGAGTATCTTTCACGATCGAAATTCACAGAGTTATCTACCGACATAATCCTTCAGTGGGTGAATAATGCGGCGAGTAAGTGCCAGACTGGTAAACCAAGCATTATGTTTGCTTGTATTGTTTCAAGCATACGCGATATATTGATTTCAATATGAATCAAACTATTCTTGAACTAGCATTTTCAATAGTGAACAGATTATTATTGCAAGCCTAAGAAGTCAAATGCCGATTGATGGCTCATTATATATATTCGAAAGCAGGCCCCGAAAAATTTTAGAGATAAGGAACATAAAGAAATGTAAATTGCATCTTTGCATTTGTAAATTGCACAAGAATCATTTGAAAGTCTAGCGTCAGCAATTTCCTGTTTTGCTTCAACGCTTCTGGTAAAATAAATGCGTGTGATGAATAAAATTTTCTGAATAAACTATTGAATCTTTCCATTAGGTTATCAGGTGAAAGAAGATAATTATTCTCAGTATGAGATTTATATTCATTTGAAACGTGTAAAACCTATATCAATCCTCTGCGACTGAAAGTACAAGGCATTACACTTTCAATCGTAAGCCTAATGTAATTTGTTAATGGATCAGTCTTACTGACATAAAAGATGTGAAGCCAGTTTTCATGTGAAATGTCAACTTTATCGAAAATTTATTAGAAATGAATGAGCACGTTTCCTTTTCAATTTTAGTGATTGCATACGATGATTTTTTCGCCTTCACAAGGATTCTGATGAGTTTTTTATTAAAATGTGTTTCCGAATTAAACGTTTGCTTCTTCATTACTTTTGGATAACCAGAAATCGATCAAGAAGATGGGATACTTTTTTTGCTCTGCAACGAGGTAATTCGTTAACTAAATCGGATCACACCATCCCGCTGCAGGTTTGGTCACTTATGACGTGCCTTCTGACAATAGATTTTATTTTGCGCATTATAATTCCAACTATTCACGTGAAATTGGAATTGCTGGTAGCTATCATGGATCATGTTAATATGTGAACAAGCTGAGATTTAGAACGAGGCCGAATTTGATATATTATAATTAAATCCTCATTTTCTGGCCATATGAGCTGTGCTCATGGCTGCAAACTCAAAGCGGTTGTTCAATATTTGGAGTATTTGGTGAGCTTAATTCTGACGTCTCTGTGTGATTACGTGTGAAAATAGATAATGGAGGATAATATTACTTTTAAAACTTGAGGGAACTGCTACACCATCGGTATAGCAGTTCCACTTTGGGCACCTAGCTTGTAAGAGCTTCAATTATTCATCTGACTCCATAAAATAAGACATAGTGAATTTTCCAGCATAACAACCTCTCAGTAAACTACCAACATCCTTATAATTTTGGGCATATGTGATCGACTACACCGAATTCGCATCGTGACAAAAGTTTTCTCCGATGCAGACAAGAAACAGAGATAAAATTTTGTAGCAGAATATTATCTATTAGGTTATCAATTGCGAAAGCCACCAGAATTGCGGAGTTGCTTTCCCTGCTTGTGTCTTGATAATATTAATGTGTGTAAATTTCAAGAATCCATCCGACAAAAAAGATGGAGATTGACTGGATGAAACACCATGCTGCATTTTGGGTGCTCGCCAGCGTCGACTAGCTGTACGGATTCTGCCTTATTCTACAGCTAGGGTGGGGCAGAATCGATTGAGCAGTTTTGAGGCGAAATAAAAGAGTAATGGAAGTACATAAAGAGGAAAGTTTATTTTCCTCGAGGTTAGCATAACATACCATTTAGAATACAGAATACTTATGTTTTGAAAATAATATCTGGAAGATGGTGGCCGTTAGCTGCAACCCCATATTGCAAACCCCAAACGTTCTATATGTTGGAAGTATAGAGTTTCAGGCTACTCTGCACGCGCCAGGCATTTGGCTTCATTACCTCACAAGATATTTTGTAAGAAACTTTATATACTGGAATGATTTTTCATAATGTTGTTATATTATACATTAATTAAAAAAAATTGCTTTTCAAATATTTAAATTGTTTTGCAACATAATATCAATTCATTTCAGAAGAGCTATGTGTAGAAGAAGAGCAAGTGTTCGAATGGCAAACGCTGGAGTAAAAGAAACTGCCAAAATAAGAATAATAAATAATTCAAATTGAGTTTATTCATACTCACCGAGAATCTCTGAATTCGTGCAAGATGCCGATCATCCAGGTCAAGTCTTCGTCGCAGAGGTCTGGGAAGTGCCAGCGGGTGATCCTACTACCACGGTCATACCTCAAATATAACATAACATAACATAGTATGTCGGCGCTGCAGTGCATAGGCCTGATGTGGCCTGTCGCCGATTCTTTTACTTTTCGTGGCTTGTTCACAGAAGATCTAAAATCGTGTCATTTGACCGGTTCTTTTCATGACTGACGATAGTTTGAAATAGCTACTAGACTTACACCGGGTTCGATATAGTGCTAGACATTTCAAATCTGAAAATATATTTTTCCATAGATTTATCTAGTCTGTTCTTGAAAGCGTTCATACATGCATGGAGCGCCAACGACGTACGTAATCGGGGAGGCTAGTATCGTAATGAGCTGACTTAGAGAGCCGATCCACGTACACAACACAAGAACAGGTCGGACTCGAATGAACAAGAAAATTTTCCTAGCTTCTTCATCCTTCTGTTCAGTATTCAAAATCTGTGTAATTCTCAGACAATCCATGGGCAATCATTTTGACGCTAATGACGCGCCCGACACAATTTTTGACGATTGCTCCGAACAATTTACTAATGAACCTTAGAAATTCAGCGCATAGAAATTGACTAATAATAACCGAGGCTACTAGGGATTCAAATTTGCATTGAAGACGTCCACACCGATAGCGTTTTTCCATTCTGCACCGTAAGTTGGCTGCATTGATGGTCTGTGGCAATGAGTCGTTAATGATTCTAACGATAGTGCTGCCCATGGAGTGCTCTTTAGAAAATAAAAATATACGTTTAAAAATTACTTTTTAAAGACAACACTTCTAAAGAATCCAGTGTTTCCAATGTTACGGATGTACAATGAATTTCTAACTTTATTTTCGAATATTAAAAAAATTAATTTTTCAATTTATTTTAATATATAAATTTTTTCAAAATTATTCATTCAGTCAATTGATTTATGCATTGTCTCCAACTTCACACAAGTGTGCAAAATTTCAGGTCAATTGGACAGGTAAAAGTGTGTCATATATCAGTTATAAGATTTGTAGATGACAAAATTATTTTTTCAATTTTTTTAATATTTAAAATTTTTTTTAATTTTTAAAATAATTTATTTTGTCATTTGATTCTTGCATTGTCTCCAACTTTACGCAAGTGTGCAAAATTTCAGATCGATAGGATAAGTAGAAGTGTGTTAAATTTTGATTATAAGATTTGTAGCAGACAGACAGACAGCCAAACAAACAAGAAGTGAAGTTAAAGAGAAGTGTTGTAATTAAGACTAATGGTGGTCGGAGGTGAATTGTTGGCATAGATCCACAACTTCCTAGCGGAAAGACTACAAGCTTTCAAGCTGTCGTTGTTGGAGGCTCGAGATCGAGCGAGGTTAGGGTGAAGAATGGAGTACCATAAGGAACGGTACTCGGCCCAATCCTCTTCCTCATTCACATCGCCGACATAGAAGTGACAGTGAACCAAGTGTCTCAGTGTCTGTATCATATTTGCAAACGACACCAAGATACTAATGACCAGGATACTATGAATATATTTTGCTGACGTCTAATACAGCAGAATTTTGAAGGCATTTAACTTATTGATGGAACAAGGGTAAAGTTTAAAAAAGCTGAACAAAAAGAAGAAAGAAAAAATAATAAAAAGGCTATAACGTACAACAGGGTATTAAATTATAACATAATACATAGGAGAAAAAGTCCTGTAGAACACATGGCCAGAATATTGTTGGGGAACAAGAAACGAGGCAGGTTGGCTGAGCTCAAGAGATTTGCCAACTGCTGGTCTCTCGCCACCCGATCTCAGCAGCGCAGAAAATAAGGCAGTCTTATCTGAGCCTACGTGCACTGCCACGGCACCGCTGCGAGACACGTGTTCTGGCACCACAAGCTCGTGATGTGAAGGATATGGCACACGAGCTGAGTTGACGATCTCGTTGTTCTCTACAGGAGTATTAGGAGGAACTGAAGAGGAAGGTACTGAGGGTGAAGAGGAAGGCACTGAGGGTGGAGTGGAAGGCACTGATGGTGAAGAGGAAGGCACTGATGGTGAAGAGGAAGGCACTGATGGTGAAGTGGATGTTGAAGGATGTTCTTCAGGTAGTCGAGGAATAATGTTATCGTCAGGACGGATCTCTGTAGGGACAGGGTAAGTTCCGTCATAACATTCAGCAACGTTCGTCTTCAGATCCTGGCCTTGACAGCGGTTCACATAGGCGACCCTGCGAAGAGATGTTATGTAAATACAAGTATTTTTTAGATTCAATCCATAACATATGAAACACCACAATTTTGATTGCATATTTTATTTTTTCATGCCGATAAAAATCATAAACAGAGTTACTTTGCTCTTAGCATATTTTTTTTATTTGGATCTTTTATAAATCTCCCATTATACTACGCTGATCAGGAGAATATTAATAGTTTCATTTTAATAACTGCAAAGCTCTACAGAGCCGCTCTCCGACATTCATTTGATTGAAGTCATTCTCAGCCTGTGGTTCATTACACGTTTATGTAGCTCAGCATAGCGCCCTAGATAAAAGAAGACAATCCATGCATAATGCCCCCATAAATTATGTCTATGATATTTATTATAGGGTTGAAGTTTGAGCAGAGACCCACCAGGCTGTCAGACCAGTTCCCTTGCCCTTCCATGCTTCAGTGTCCTTGATAATGCGCCGCACGCACGCTAGGTCGTCTGTCAAGTCATCATCCAGAAATGCTGAAATAAAAAATCTGCTGATCAATCATCGACAATCGAAAACCCTAAAGGGTTTTAACAAGTTACTTGGAATCAATTCACTACAATTCTAGCTGCAATTAATATTTTTATCATCAAAAATCATTAAAAACACTTTTTTTCGAAAACTGATAGGCCTATGCATCTAGTGTATTTCTCAGTTATTCGACACTTTTGGCACCCACAATATGAGCGTTTAATCACTCAGAAGGTAAAGACTCACCAGAACACGGCGTCTTGCAGACATTCTTGCCGGTGTGGTCGTCACACCAGAACTTGTCGCTGAGTTGGAACAAACCGTAGTCGCGGGAACCATCCCAGTTGAACTTGTTCACAGCCTCCGTGTTGAAGGTGGACTCGTGTTCAGCGATGCACACCCCTCATACAGGAATATTATAACTAGAATAATCCTGAATTATGTTAATGATTTGTTACGCATATATCTTATAGCTTACATAAGAGAATATGGTGTAAGAGAAAACTGTGCAATGTGGCTGATGGGTACATGAGTAACAAAATAACTATAAGCGTTTGTAAGTATCAATAAAAGCATTTCAATCCTTGAAAATCAGTGCATTTTTGCTGGAGCGACAGTATTACTCACAGTCCTGGACATCGACTCGCGTCATGCCATGCTTGGTCTCGAGCAGGTGCGCCAGTTCACATTTGTCGAATATTTTGGCTATGGCCTGGCGGCAGGCGAGTGCGAGTAACAGCACCTGCAACCTGCCATAACAATATAATACAATATATATTAAATTATAATAAGAAAATACTACGATATATATTTATACATAGATAATTATCAAAAATATTTTACGCGTGAATTATATTTTTTCAAAAAATAGACGTGCTAAAGAAACAAACAGAGCAAGTTTTGAAATCATCAGCGAAATTGCTGTCCAACCGGCACAAAATGATCTCAGAACCATTTCTCTTTTGACCAGTATATGTGATACGATGCGGTATGGTATGATATGATATAATACATAATACATGTGCGAGTAATAGCATGAATATCGTGGCTATGAATGCTGTGCTATCGTGGCTAGCATGAATATCTACCAGCAGGGCCGGCAACCTGCTTGACGAGATGCGTCACAAATTGAGTCTAGAAGTTCAATGCTCGTAGCCTGTTTAGCTCAACAGTTATTTACACGATAAGAAAAAGTGGACCGACAGTCAGCTCGATTTGTATGCTATTTATTCATTTTTATAAGTATTATATTGCAGAATTTTCTTGCTGATATGCATACAACTACTGATCAGACAGTGCATTACAATGATCAAAAGGCAAGTTTAGCAAGTAATAATATTATATTAACGACGTTTCGAATTCATTGTCAAGTTAAGAGAAGCATTGAATAACGAAATTTTGTTGTAAACTTTTTCATCATTTGGACTACATTGGAGTAGCAACTACGAAATTGAGTATGACAAACGAGCAACTTCATCTCAAGATGATTGATGAATTCAACAGGCTTGGTGACACCCTTGACAACAACATCAAACTCTGGACTATACGCAAGAATGGCCCTGCCAAAGAGCGGAAGTTCTCCAAGAGGCCGGTGTAGTCTATAAATTTTGCTTTTAAGAGGGTCGTAGACTTCTTCATTATTTGGGCTACATTGTAATAATTGTACTGACAACCACGACATCGAGATCGTGTCACCTTCCATCTTCAAGCTGGAGGGCAGAGGAATCCCCAGAGACAAACTCACATGACGGTCGCTCGCACAGTGATGCAGGTGATGCAGAAACCCACCAGCATCGTCATCATGCAGAGGTGCACAACATTAACCAACCCACGATTGCTGGAACATTCGTCATTTTGGATCAGACCCCAGCTATTTATTGCCAAACTACCGGATTTGTTTAAACTTTCAAATTGTTCGCGGAGGGACTTTGTGGCTCGAAAGTTTTGTGTTGTATCCTATATACGTGTAGTTATGTCGAAAAAAATTTAATTATTAAATCCTTCTCTTAACTTGGAAATGAATGTTGTCACATTTGTGTTGTCGTTAAAATACTATTATTACTTGCTAAACCTACCTTTTGATCTACCAATCTAAAGAATAGTGAGACTCCTTGAAAATAGTAATGCATTTTTTTATGTAGGTATATGTTTTTACAAGCCTCTTCGATGTTTCTGTGCCAGTCAAGAAATCGGTATCTAAAATGTAACTGCAATAGTTGGAACTAATTTCGTTATAAAACCATGAGTATACTTGTATACTTCAATGAGGTCCCCACGCAGACGTCGATAACTGAGGCTTGGAAGCTTCATAATATTTAATCTTTCTTCATAGAACTTGCCCTTTTAGCCTGGAATTATCCTTGTTGCACGTCTTTTAACATTCTCTATTAAATTTTTGTCCTTTTTAAATCTCGGTGACCACACAACGTTTCCAAACTCTAGACTCGGGCGCACGACAGCAACAAACAACACAGGACTTAATATGATATTTAGTACCTTGAACGCCGTATGGATAATCAAAAGAATCGAAAATTATTCAACACGAAAAATACAGTACATTTCATTTTTATCATCAAAATAAAGCGGCAAAATTATCTGCAGCCAAGGTGACTTATTACAGGAGATGTACAGGCAACTGGAGAGCCTAGTGGGGATTCGTAGTTCACAGATGAAAGTTCAAATAAATGGGGAGTTGAGGATCGTCTGTTATACCAACATCACCGTTGGTAATATAAGGCGATAGATAAGCAGGATCAATATCACAGTTTAATAAAGGGTGATGGATAAGGAGGACTTGTAGACAAGCCCTGCTATGATGTCCCTCAGAAGCGACGAGGTTTGTTCCGAAACAGTTTTTGCTTCTGCTGCTCTCTCTGAAAAGGATTATGATTTTAGCTATGATATTTTGACAACACTTGTGCTTTATTTTAAAGTTTTCAAATAACTATAACTCTACTTTAACAGAAATTTCAACGTTATTGGTCTTTCATTTTTCAAAATCTCTTGAAATAGCGAATCCCAAGGATGTCTGCTACTCCTTAACCAAGTTTTAAGAGTAACAGAGATCGTCCACCAACATTAATGACAATATGGAAGTAATTTATCTATATAGGTATATTTTACATGTTCATTTTGCATTTCCATGATTATCCTCACCTCGTCATCTTCTTCAGACTCGCTTCTCGGCGCGCTATCATCAATAGCATCCAAGATTGAGTCGGCATCAGAGACTTCCCCAGCGTCTTCAGGCTGAAACGAGGACATGGAAGGGCGATTGAAATCAGGAAGTGGGTTAATGAAAGGGTGATTAAAATCATAAATTTGAAGAAAGCTAATGGTTACATTGGGTTAATGACATAAACAATGCATTAAAAGAATATTAAGAGCGCTGAAGAGGTAAATGTATGCCTAAAGAATGAAAAGAAAGTGAGTAAACTGAAACATTATTCCATCAAAAAATAGACAAGCTACGCGAAAATATAGCCCTAGTCAAAGATATTCAACGCCGATATAATAGTAACTCAAAACTAGGCAATTAGCTGAGCGAAATACATGAGAACTTCCAGGGTCAGAAAAAATGACATTAAATAACCTGTCTAAATTTTGACACACCTCGTTCTGGAACTCTTGAGCATTTCAATCCTTGAAAATCAGTGCATTTTTGCTGGAGCGACAGTATTACTCACAGTCCTGGACATCGACTCGCGTCATGCCATGCTTGGTCTCAAGCAGATGCGCCAGTTCACATTTGTCGAATATTTTGGCTATGGCCTGGCGGCACGTGAGTGCCAGTAACAGCACCTGCAACCTGCCATAAGAAAATAATAATATGATACAATATATATTATACTATAATAAGAATATAATACGATGTATATTTATACATATATAATTAGAAAAATATTTTACGAAAGAATTATATTTTCAAAAAAAAAAAACGAGCAAGTTTTGAAATCAGCAGCAAAGTTGCTGTCTAACCTGCACAAAATGATCTCAGAACAATTTCTCTTTTGACCAGTATATGTGATACGATGCGGTATGGTATGATATGATATAATAAATAATATATGTGCGGGTATCAGCATGAATATCGTGGCTATGAATGCTGTGCTATCGTGGCTAGCATGAATATCTACCACCAGGGCCGGCAGCCTGCTTGACGAGATGCGTCACAAATTGAGTCTAGAAGTTCAATGCTCGTAGCCTGTTTAGCTCAACAGTTATTTACACGATAAGAAAAAGTGGACCGACAGTCAGCTCGATTTGTATGCTATTTATTCATTTTTATAAGTATTATATTGCAGAATTTTCTTGCTGATATGCATACAACTACTGATCAGACAGTGCATTACAATGATCAAAAGGCAAGTTTAGCAAGTAATAATATTATATTAACGACGTTTCGAATTCATTGTCAAGTTAAGAGAAGCATTGAATAACGAAATTTTGTTGTAAACTTTTTCATCATTTGGACTACATTGGAGTAGCAACTACGAAATTGAGTATGACAAACGAGCAACTTCATCTCAAGATGATTGATGAATTCAACAGGCTTGGTGACACCCTTGACAACAACATCAAACTCTGGACTATACGCAAGAATGGCCCTGCCAAAGAGCGGAAGTTCTCCAAGAGGCCGGTGTAGTCTATAAATTTTGCTTTTAAGAGGGTCGTAGACTTCTTCATTATTTGGGCTACATTGTAATAATTGTACTGACAACCACGACATCGAGATCGTGTCACCTTCCATCTTCAAGCTGGAGGGCAGAGGAATCCCCAGAGACAAACTCACATGACGGTCGCTCGCACAGTGATGCAGGTGATGCAGAAACCCACCAGCATCGTCATCATGCAGAGGTGCACAACATTAACCAACCCACGATTGCTGGAACATTCGTCATTTTGGATCAGACCCCAGCTATTTATTGCCAAACTACCGGATTTGTTTAAACTTTCAAATTGTTCGCGGAGGGACTTTGTGGCTCGAAAGTTTTGTGTTGTATCCTATATACGTGTAGTTATGTCGAAAAAAATTTAATTATTAAATCCTTCTCTTAACTTGGAAATGAATGTTGTCACATTTGTGTTGTCGTTAAAATACTATTATTACTTGCTAAACCTACCTTTTGATCTACCAATCTAAAGAATAGTGAGACTCCTTGAAAATAGTAATGCATTTTTTTATGTAGGTATATGTTTTTACAAGCCTCTTCGATGTTTCTGTGCCAGTCAAGAAATCGGTATCTAAAATGTAACTGCAATAGTTGGAACTAATTTCGTTATAGCAACGCGTTCCGGACATGGGCAGCAGTATGACATTAACTGCAGTGTTTAGACGATAGATAAATCGATTTGTAGAATTTCTCGAAATAGAAAAGTAGGCCGAACAATTTCGTCCAGCCTAGAACGCTTACCGCATTTCGGGTGGAGGGACTTCAAGGTCTGTTCCTTCCCTGAAATTAAATCATAAAAATAATACAAATCTAGTTTTTTTTCAAGTAATTAACTCAGTCCTAAGTGTGCTGGTGCTCCAGTCCTCTTGTATATGGTCAGTAGCCGTTCATAATAGATATAGTTTCAAACTACCATCACAATTGTAAGACTCTAATTTAGATTCAAGTTTGAGTCGACAACAATGAGCTGTGGTTTGCATTCTGAGAAAAATGACCTGTTGCAGAGTTTAAACGACTAGAGAACTTAGCCCGAAATTACGGGTTAAATTAAGCTCTACTGAATAATTAATCTAAATAATAACTCATAGAGTCTAATTTATATGATTGAAATACCAAATTTCCAGCAGCAAAATTGAAACACAAAACGGGGGCTGAAGTTTCACGCAGTGCCGCCAGCGCCCGCCGCCCAGATCAGACTGCACTGCGAGTCTCTCAGTGTCTCTACTGGCAGACGCGGAGGATTTTTTCTCCATAGAAACAAGTCTCGCAAACTGGATCGCAGTCCTGACTAGGCCCGGGGATACTCGAGCAACCTGGAGTCGACTAGTTTTTGAAGGAATATTAATGACGGACGGTAGTTAATGTTAGTAAAAAAAATTGAAGTATTAGAATTGTGAGTAATAACCATTAGTTCAAATTCATTCGGTTCTTGAACGTCAAAAGTGTAACGGCGGCAGCAAGAATTGAATTTCATAGACTCGGACATGTTACCGTGTTCGTCTGACCAGAAAAGTGTAGCAAAAATATGACAAATTACGTATTTTCTTTACTATAAAATGTATAGAGTTTGGTCATAACGGCAGAAATTAGTGCATGGGAAGTCAACCTCACATACAACTGTTTTTATAAACTTGATTAATATTCAAATAAATAAGTTACATTATGATTGACTAGTCTGCCTGATTAGTAAAGTATCCAAATGTTTCGTTCTGAATGGTCACACAGGAAAGATTTGAATTTGAATATGGAGTGATAATTATGACAATTGATCAAATTTACAAGCAAATCCCCTTAGGTTTCGACTGGAATAAACACTGTAATTCTACAAGTGAAATCGTGATTTAGTAATGAGAGAGGGTAGTAATGCAAGTAATGTACCTATGATTTAATGTAAGTAATGTACTTATGATAGTAATGTAAGAACGGTTATCAGGCAGGGCTTGCGAGTCATTTTTGCGAGCGTTCCATATATTCGGGAACTTTAGATTACTCGAAGTGTACCCTAGCAAGTCATTGTGGTGCAATATGATGTCTACTGAAAATTGAACAGGCCGTTGTTTAGTGGATAAATTTGTTCTGTTTAAGGCTCAGACAATTAATGGAGACATTCCTTCACGATACTCTAATAGCCGGTCACTGACATATGTAACTAAAGGGACCGTAATTTCAAGATTTGGTTGAGAACAGTTCTATGAAACGGAACACTTGTTGCAAGCTTCGTCGAATGCTGCAGAACAATCGGTGAGCCCGGGAGTTCCTGTTGCGTGTTAGCGAATGCTTTTCAACGGTTATAAGCTTGCAAACAATGTTCGACTGATGTAAAAAGAGGTTTAGACTTCATTCACGATGCACCTTAGTCGTGTATTCAAGCAAGACTGTTATAGTATTGCACAAAAGTTCTTAGTGATTAGATCGATGTTGGTGTTCTTTGCAGACGGTTAGGTTATCGGTTAGGTCGAAATTCGACTATAGCTTTACAAGAAGAACGGGATGCGAGACATGTTAGTCCGGTGCGCCATTTATTGTGATCTGTACTCAGACTATTATGATCACCTCATCATCATCGTGTCTCCCCGAAGCTCGAGGCTGCGAAGGCGTGTCTCTCTGATCTCATCTTAGGAGTCTCAGAATTGTCCACCTTCTAAAAATTGACAGAAGCCTCTGGCAAGTCCTCCGTCCCTACGTAAATCAATCAGGCACACATACTCCCGCCACAATCTGGAATGGTCTCATCATCTTTGGAGAAAATCCAAAATCTCTGTTCTTCTATTAGACAGGCCCATGAAAACTTCCCGCTCATCCGCATTAAGTCAACTTGTGACACCCCTCCTAGACGGACATCTTGGTACCCGTAGGCGCTTACGGGGAGGTGAAACGCACTTTCCTCAAGGATATTTCCACTTGAGCTGCGGTGGACTGCACCGCAGTCCTGGCCTCCATACGCACTCCAGTGCCTCTGAAGAGACCTCGCATCTACAGCTCTGCTGTACTGTACCACGCACCCTGGTCTCTGGCTGAGCTGTGCTTTACCAGGGCTGCGCGTTTCAATGCGCCGCTTTCCGGACTCGCTGAGATTTCGCTTTGGATGAGACTTGAGATTGTGCAACCTGGAGGCACTGGATTAACTTCGTCTACCGTCTTTCAAGGGGCGGGAAATTGAATTGGCCTTTAGTTTCCGGCCTTGAGCGAGAAATCTTGGAGAAATCGAAAAAGTTAAACCATTAACCCTGAGTTCACTTATTATCTTGCCACAAATAGAGAACTCTATCCGATTCCTCTCGTTTGCCGTCAGCGAGATAGCTAAATAGCTGAAGCGCTAGTAAACATTTGGCCACTAAACTAACTAACTAACTTGTAATGAGGTCTGTACAATATACACTGGACTTAATATGATATTTTGAACCTTGAACGCTGTGTCGAAAATCTTTAGGCATAAATTTACCTCTTCAGTACTTTTGATATTCTTTTTTTTCAAGATCAAGAAAAGTCGAAAATACTCCAACAATCAAGAGTCGAAAATACTCCAACACGAAAAATACGGTACATTTCATTTTTATCATCAAAATAAAGCGGCAAAATTATCTGCAGCTAAGGTGACTTATTATTGGAGAGGATCCCACAACTGGAGAGCCTAGTGGGAATTCGTAGCTCACAGATGAAAGTTCAAATAAACGAGCACTCATTTGTATCCTGTTTAATGGTCAACGTTTAAGTTGCTGCCCACAGACAAGATTTAATTCTTATATCAAGTATTTGATGACCTAATCGCTCATAAGCAAGCAGTCCTGCGAATCAGCGAGCTGAAACTTGACGTAAATAACCACAGTGCTTCGTACGTTTTCACGACCGACACCCGCGTGCTAAGGACGGCCGACACGCGCGTGCCAAGGACGGCCGACACGCGCGTGCCAAGGACGGCGGACACGCGCGTGCCAAGGACGGCCGACACGCGCGTGCTAAGGACGGCCGACACACGCGTGCCAAGGACGGCTGACACGCGCGTGCCAAGGACGGCTGACACGCGCGTGCCGAGGACGGCTGACACGCGCGTGCTAAGGACGGCCGACACGCGCGCGCCAAGGACGGCTGACACGCGCGTGCTAAGGACGGCTGACACGCGCGTGCTGAAGACAACGTCAACTCCCACACAATGTACAATGTCTCGGGAGTTGACGGACGTCTCTGTTGTACCAACATTACAGTTGGTAATATAAGGCGATAAGCAGGATCAATATCACAGTTGTTGATAAAGGTGATGGATACGCAGGATCAATATCAAAGTTGGTGATATAAGGCGATGGATAAACAGGATCAATATCACAGTTTAATAAAAGGTGATGGATAAGGCGGACTTGTAGACGTGCCCTGCTCTGATGTCCCTTAGAAGCGACGAGGTTTGTTCCTAAACAGTTTTTGCTTCTGCTGTTCTCTCTGAAAAGGATTATGATTATAGCTAAGCTATTTTGACAACACTTGTGCTTCACGTTGAAGTTTCCAAATAACTAAAACTCTACTTTAACAGAAATTTTAACAATATTTGTCTTTCATTATTTCAAAATCTCTTAAAATAGCGAATCCCAAGTGTGTCTGTAGACTGTTACACCTTAACCAAGGGTGAAAGAGTAACAGACATAGTCCACAACATTAATGACAATATGGAACTTATTTATCTCTATATATTTTTAAAGTTCATTTTGCATATCCATTATTATTCTCACCTCCTCATCCTCTTCAGACTCGCTTCTCGGCGCGCTATCATCAATAGCATCCAAGATGGAGTCGGCATCAGAGACTTCCCCAGCGTCTTCAGGCTGAAACGGGTACATGGAAGGGCGATTAAAATCAGGAAGTGGGTTTATAAAAGGGCGATCAAAATCAGGAAGTAGGTTTATGAAAGGGCGATTAAAATCAGGAAGTAGGTTTATGAAAGGGAAGTTAAAAAAAAGTCAGGAAGTTAAAAAGCTAATAATGACATTTGGTTAATGACATAAACAATGCATTTAAAGAATATCAAAAGTACTGAAGAGGTAAATTTATGCCTAAAGAATGAAAAAAAGTAAGAAAATCGAGACATTATTCCATGAGAAAATACGCAAGCTACTCGAAAATATAGCCCTAGTAAACGAATATTCAACGGCGATGTAAGAGTAATTCAAAACTAGGCAATTAGCTGAGCGAAATACACAGAGAACTTCCAGGGTCAGAAAAAATGACATTAAATAAACTGTCTAAGTTTTGACGCACCTCGTTTTGGAACTCTTGTTCCTCGCGCTCTATTTCCCTCTTGCGCTTCTTGAAGGCCTCCTTCATCTTGATGCCGGCACCGCCAGACCGGTCTAGCCTGGAATGATGCGAGATATTAAAGTCGAACAATAAGTAGAAAATACGCCTATGGCCTGTTCAAAATTATGGTTATGATAAACTAAAATATATAACTGGGACAATTGGTATATGGTGTTGAAAAGTAAACAACTTCCTTTTGAGTTTGTGTTCTCTCGTAAAACGCTCGCCCAAATGAAGATTTCAAATTATTGTGGTACTGTACCTCTCATAGCCCTCCCCTGCTGACTGTACCTCTCATAGCCCTCCCCTGCTGACTGTACCTCTCATAGCCCTCCCCTGCTGACTGTACCTCTCATAGCCCTCCCCTGCTGACTGTACCTCCAGCACAAACCCCACTTGTAGCCGTGCTGTTCCCGTCAATGGTCGTCTACTCACCATACTCAATCTAATTTAAATACCTTTGTGACAAGTACTTTTGTCCCCACGTGATCTATTTGGATTAGCAAAAAAAAGAATTCGGATTATTACAAATTGGATGCTACAGAAAAGGCGATTTGAAAAGGAAAAGAAAATGTGATCAAGATGCGATGTGAATAGGAAATGTGATCAAGATACAATGTGAAAAAAATGTGATTAAGATACGATGTGAAAAAAAATGTGATCAGGATTTGATGTGAAAAAGAAATGTGATCAGGGTGCGATGTGAACCAACCGCTTAGCGAGCTCAGGGTCTCTGGCAAAACGTTGGTCTCTGAAGAGCCGCGAAATTCTCTCGTCCAAAATCTCCTCCTTGAACTCGTCTCCGACCGCCTGCAGCACCTCCTTGTTCACAACGCCTTCCTTCTGCAGACAAATTTACAAATTATTTCTGCAACTTTAATTTTTAGGCAACGACTGCTAGAAGCAATTCAGGATTATGAAAGTGCATATTATAGGCTTCACAATAAAATTATCAAGAAAAGAAAATGAATTATCTTATCAATTAAAATTATCATCAATTATTATTAAATTATTATATAAATTACTAAATTATCAAGAAATTCTCATCTTAACACTGGCAACAGTTAAAGTGCCATTTTTATCCCATTTCTATCAATGGCGACGTGCAACGTGTTGTCAGTGTATGGTGTTAATAAATTAAAATGAACATTGAGAAAGATCCAACCTCTTTCTGCTTAAGTTTGATCTTGTTCTCTTCAGCGATGGTCTCCTTCAGCTTCTGCTTGATGACGTTGATGGGCTTGACAGGCACCGCGAGACGCTTGGCTTTGTTGTAGAGCGCATTATTGATGTAGTAGCCGTGCATGGACGCTCTCAGCATGCTCGTGCCTGAGCAAATAAGTACTTAGATATAACTTAACCTTATAGAAATAGTGGCACATTAAATGAGCAAACATGCCGATCTAGCCGCAAGCTGGGACCTTCTCAGGCCCAGGAGTTAATTGTCGGATCGACTCAATGAGTTCCCTTGCAACGTAAGAAAATTCAACTTGAATTTGGTAATTTAAGCATCCCCAATGCCGAATATTTCTTGTAAAATAACTGAAAATATAATTTCCCTCAGGTCATCCAAACGTACACCACCGCGATCTTCATGCTTCTGAGTCCCGGTCTGAGAAGCCCTTACACTCGTCCGCTGAATGAATTCAATGCCAAAACAGCACACCCAACACCCACTAACAAGGTCCTTCAGCCCACCCCTCCAGCACAGCCAACACCCACCAACAAGGTCCTTAAGCCCACCACACCAGCACACCCAACACCTACCAACAAGGTCCTTAAGCCCCAGCTCGAGCAGCTCGCCCTCCGTCACGAAGGTGTAGTCGTCGTACTGCGCGGCCACGGTCGCCTCGGCGTCCTCCTCCATCTCCTCCGTCATCGCGTCCAAGTGACCACACCACGCGGGGGCGGGGCCGAGGCTCTGCTTAAATTAGGCAAGTTAACCAACATAATTATAGACAGAACACGATGATACTTCTTGTCCTTGTTGGCCAAGACTGTAGTACATGAGTGAGGTTATCAACATATTTGTAGACAGATTACAGCGATACTTATTATCCTTGTTGGGACCATGCTGTGTGTGGAAGACGAACTATCATCAAGATAGCCAATATAGTCAAATGGGGTAAGACAGGATCGCAGCCTTCATGGGGTAAGAAAGGACCGGCCCATGGCATGCATTCTAATTGCACTGAATTCAATTTGGCGAAAGAATATGTTAGAGCAATCATTGCCTGTCATTTCAGTGCTTGTTTCAACCCTCTTCTGCAAATAATGAATTTCTGGCTAATTTTCAAAGAAAACCTATGTAAAGAAGGGTCACAAAATAGTTAACCCTGTTTGGGAAATAAGCTCTGTCCCTGTCTCTTATACACATCTAGATGTGTATAAGAGACAGCGTGCAATGTTATTCTCAATTAAAAAGTTAGCTCCCAATATTACACAGCATGGCATATCCCTAGTAGACACAACTGCGAATGGCATAATTTTTGGAAACATTACATGACCTATTGACACCTTAATGAATACTAAACCAATTATTTGAGTGTGACAACCATTAACTGTACTAATACGGCCGTTCAGGTTCTCTTCCCAAACATGCACTTGACTTGCCCTCAACATCCTGAGAGCTTCGTCGCTAATTAAGCTTATTTGAGCACCAGTGTCAATTAAAGCACATATACGCACAGAATAAGCACTAACAACACAGGAGCCTAATGCTTTCGTATCGTGGGCACACATGCTGGAAACACCCTCGGCCACCTCGGCACAAGTAACAGGATTAACAGANATGTAAGGAATCCTACCTACATAATAACTTAATGTAAGGAATCCTACCTACATAATAACGTAATGTAAGGAATCCTACCTACATAATAACTTAATGTAAGGAATCCTACCTACATAATAACTTGATGTACGGAATCCTACCTACATAATAACTTAACCCCACAACTGAAGCCCGCAGTCAGACACCGCGAGCTCAGCGGTGGGGCGCTCAGGAACAATCACCCTGGGAGCACGAAATCCCATAGGACTTCTGACGAGCACAGACACCCGTCAGAAGTTTCCCCTGAGGGATTGGTAAGTTAATATTCAGTCACGAAATTCCTTGCTAAATAAGGATTTGAACGGGACTTTCCTCAATGGCCCTACTTTAGTTTCAAAATAATAAACTAGATTCAGGGTGTCGGGATGATGAGACTTTACCTTCAACCTCCATGCTCCTGTTAACACAACACTCACAGGGAGGATATACAAAACACTCACTATACAAGGCACACACTTATACTAGGCATACACTATATAAGGCACACACTATACTAGGCACACACTATACAAGACACACACCATACAAGACACACAACACTCACAGGGAGGATATACAAGACACACACTATACAAGACACACACTATACTACAAGACACACACCATACAAGACACACAACACTGACGGGGATAAAGTAAGCCTTCATGTTCTTGTCCTCAGCAGCGAAGAAGGCCAGCCCTGTGCCCGGCACGACGGCCATGTCGTTGAATGGCGCGTCGCCTTCGATGCTCGTAACCGCCTCGCCCTGCCGCAAAATAATAAAACATTCCTAATACATTTTATAATAAAACATTCAAAAAATATTGCCGAAAAAAATCTATATAAGCCTTGCACATCTTAATTATGGTTAGCCAAATATGGAACTCTTGGCTCGCAGTAATTATATACACAGTTTCATCTGGTAAAGTGGCCAATTGATGAAAATTCTTCAATTAACCAGCGAGTTGCAGAAAAAAAAGTTTTTTAACAATCTACCAGGAGCACAATGAAAAATTAGATGAAAATCGGGTTATTAATAGGAAATTGTCATTGTTACTAAAAAGCCGCTTGAAACCATTCTCAACAAATTACCCAAGACAAGTTTACGTTAGGATGAAGGAATTCTGCTGGTCAAGGTCAACTGATGGACTTCTACAAAGTAGCTACTTTAAATTTAAAATCGTCCTATCAAATGAATGTAAGGAAATAAGGTCACACTGATTTTAATTATTGAAAATCTTCAAAATCAACAACAATACGGATGATTGCCTTTTGAAGAACCAAATACATCCAGAATGATGTTTGCTATTCAAGAGGTAGCTCAAGATTCAAATGGATAAGCCAAGCACTCAAGTCTTCATCGTAACAATTTTGTTGACTAGCAAATCAAAATATAAGATACATCAAGTTATTAGATAAATGAAGCGCAACTGACGTTATTCTTGTCCCATATTTTGAGCACATTTGGCGCCATGGAGAAGACGTTGCCGGAGGAATGGAAGTGCAGAGCTTGGATGGGCGAGCGGTTGTGGTGGTCACGTATCAGGTACGGGCTCTGGCAGCGGATGTCGTACATCAGGATCTGAATGAACAACATGAATACTTCAATGTTGAGTAATGTTTCAGGATATAATAATATTATATTATTATTATACATATATATAATATAAAGTCCCTGTATAGAAGAGCTTACACAACTGACCTGCCCTGTATAGTTGCCTACGGCCAGTGTGTGTGGGCCGCTGTATTCAAGTGATGTGATGCGCAGGTCTTTCCTGGACCTGATCTCCTCGTCCAAACTGCAATGTGAACATGAAAGAAAATTTAGACGTGGTCTATAACATTGCTCTTCATTGTAATGAGTCTTCAAGTCTTTTGTGGACGTTTTGTCCTCAAAGAAATTGCAATAATGCAAGAAATATTAAGAAAGGTCTACTACTGGAGAGCAAACTATTGAACAGCAGTTATTTTTGAGGGAGTTTTCATGGTAGCAAGATTTTTTTCATAGCGTTGGTCTAATTCTGTGGCATATTTTGCACAATCAAGCTGCTGCATTAAGTAATCAGAACTTTTGCTGATACTGATGATCTGTTGCAGCAACTTGTTGGCATAACATTCAACACTAACCTGTTGGCATAACATTCAACACTAACCTGTTGGCATAACATTCAACACTAACCTGTTGGCATAACATTCAACACCAACTTGTTGGCATAACATTCAACACCAACCTGTTGGCATACTCGGCCATGTGCTTGCCACAGTCAAGGACCCCGGCTTTACTGCGGTCTCGTGGGTCCCAGCACTGCAGGATGCCATCATCAGTACCCATTGTTAAGAGCCCATGATGCTTGTTCAATGTTAGTCTGAAAAATATTTTAGTGAGTTATGTATATTCATTTTGATAATAAGCAGGAGCCTGCATTCATAGAATCAATGGTGCTTATATTTATCAACATGAGGCCAGATTATCAAAACACCACAACATACACACAAGTGCTTAGGTACACGTAAGCACAGCGAAGTGGACATAACTCTAAACGGTAGTATTATCAAAACATTTTGCGCAAGCAACAAAACAACTTCTTGAACACAACTTTAAGACAACTCGGAGGTTGCAGAAGTGGAGTAAGGCACAACTATTTCCAGAGTGAAGTGATTGGAACTCATCATGTTCCCAATAAAACTGAAAATTTTGAAATATTTTTACTTATACCTAAACATACCTATAAGGTACCTATAGTCATGCCACTAGTGAATAAATTTAAATCGTTTTGATGCCAAGGGTTATAGATCTATCAATTTTGTCAGAAATTAGAATCAAATGTTAATTTTCAAATCACAGAGTTTTAAGATTATTCATTGGAAAAACTTCATTACTGAATTATTGATTCAAAATTATAAGGATCTTCACCAGCCAATCATCATATTTGGCATAGATATCAACCAGCCAACTGACCTGCTCTGTCAGTTGGCAAACAAGATGTTAATTTAAAAACAAATTGTTAATTTTAACCTTCCTATGAATCATATTTATCATACATTTCTGCATTAATTCTCCGCAGATGTCCTAATATCAATGATGGAATAATTATACTGTAGGTACAAGTTTTCTTTCAACTTGTATCAAAATATGTAAGCTCAAACTGTCATAAATTATTGTAAGGAAGGGAAAATTATTATTAACAGTGTATTTGAAAATGTATCTTTTTAAAAACTAGATGACTACCATTTCCATTAGGCTGTTCATTCACATGGGTTTGATAATACCATTTTAGATCGGTAAGCATTGCATACGAATATTTACATAGGGCCAAAATTACCTATGTGTACTTCTAGGTGATAATGCCGAAATTAGTTGTAGGCATTATGTAAGTTCTTGTGCATGAGTATGATTGCAATGTTTTGATAATCTGGCCTATGACATAGAGGTTAATGCATCAAATGATATAATGTCCATGTATACACATACTGAATGTATCTTTATTAAAACAAATATTGAAAAAGTGGAATTTTATAGCATTAAAAGCCAATTAAGAAATCAAATCAATTTAAATTCGATTGATATTATTTATTTATTTTAAAGCTAGAAGTGGCAGCATAGATTAACATATAATATATGATATCATTCAATTTCTCCAATATTATGTATTATTTCAGGGTAATATTTTCAGGATACTTTCATCTCTTGACATCATACACTCATGATGCACATGAAGAAAATCTAAAATTGAAGCACAATGGTGCAATATGGTTATTTTGTGGTATAATGTAACATCAAGAGTACATAATTTATCCAAATTTTAGAATACCCATCATTGCTGATGCTCAGTGTAGACCATGCACAAAGCTTCCAAGATATGGTGTTCCCCACACAAACTTCATCAAATTCTAAATAAAATAAATTCTTTCTGTAGCCAATGTTTGGCTCCTGTTTGAGTGATGGGAAGCATTATAGCAAGTTGGTTTTCCTCAGTGTTATCTGTGCACAATAAGAATTTTATGAGTTTGCATCAAGAGGAAATAACTGGTCTACAATAAAAGTCTTTTGTGTTTACAACAAGAGAAAACAAAATAAGTGACAATCAAACAAAACCTACCCAGACGCTGCAATATACAGATCAGCTGATGGCTGATGTAGGCAGAGGTCACGGCCAAACTTGGGTATTCGTAGGCGGTGGATACGGCCACCCTGACCATGCAGCTCAACATAACGATATTCTTGAAGGTAAGCTATCTGCTCGAAGTAAAGAAACATAAGTGCCATTTTGGCAAAGATTTCATCAAATATATTCATAGATAATAAATTCAATGGTTACATGAAGAAAAAATAAGAAATCTGTATTGAATGACATTTCCTTGCTTCAATTAATGCAAGGTCAGAATGATGCTGATGATTGTCTTACCTTACTATAATCATCACTGAGAATTTCTAGTCGAATAACTTCATAGTCCATCCCTCTTTCAAATTTGACAGATAGCTCAGACAGGTCATAACATTTCATGACAGGTTTGTAGGTGCCACAAGCCATGAGATACTCGCCATTGGGGGACAACTTAATGCAGTTGCTAACATCAGGCATGACAAAATCTTGCAACAGATCCTCTGCAAAGTAAGCAATTAACAATATAAGAATCCAACACACTTAAATTTTCCAGTCAGATCAATCATAAGACTTTTAAGGTTTATAATACCATAAACAGGGCAACTTGGACCTTTTGACTTTTAAGAAAATAAAACCCAATAACTCAAAAAGTTCTTGCTTTAAAAAAATTGAGTTGATGGCTCTTAAAGTGCCATATGATAATCTATAAATGCAAAAAGGATTATTTACTGTGACTATTTGTATCACAAAAGGGAGTGCTAAAAATGAAAAAATTTTGTACCCTATCAATATACCCCCTCTCATTTCTCAACTATTTGACAGAATGACCCCTAACTGATACCTACATTACCCTACAAGCCTTCCAGTTTTATGTATTGGAGCCAACCTAAGTTCATTGTGATAATTACAAATTGGGTGGGCAATGCCCTTAATGGGGTCACTTGGACCAGTCTAAATGACATCAAATGAGGTGACTTGAACTGAATCATATTGCAAATAAAAACCACATTTAATCATTAAACACGTGTTATTCAAGTGTTACTAATGCTATATATATATATATATATTTTCTAGGTTACTTATTGTTCTAAATTTATTATATATATATATATATATTTTCTAGGTTACTTATTGTTCTAAATTTATATTGTGCCTATTAACCAGTTAATTACTGTAAATGGCTACATTGTTAAACACCTGCATACCATGGATACCTGTGCCTAGGGCCTACAAGAGCTGTAAGGGCTTCTGCACCTACAGAAACTATATGGGAGATGAAGTAGATAGAGTAGAAGATTTAATAAGAGACAAGGCTAACCCAAAATAAGGCTAACCCAAGCTGCTTAACAGTACCGGTATGGCTTAGGCAAGTCTGTTTTGTTCAACAGAGTGCATAGAAGCTATGTTACAAAGACTGGAGGCCAAACTGTTTTTTAGGGCACAGGAGAGCATTGTTGTCAAAAGACTTGCACAGTGTAGTGATTATGGCTACATGTTTCAGTGTATGGACCTAAGGACTATTGACCAGAAGGTTCTGGGATGAGCAAGGACAAACCGTCCTTAAGTTTTCAATGAACCTTTGAGGGCCCAACTGGGCTTTTGCCTTCATCAAGCAGCATAGCAATTCAGGTAAAAGACTAGCAAATGATATTAAAAGATTAAGAGCAGCTTTGGGGAAGCAAACTCTGAAGGAGTACTCTTCAAGGCTAGCAAGGAGATAAAAGACATAACTCCTACCCATATTTTCAACCATGATGAGTCCCAGATTAATTACCCAATCCAAGTCACCCCAAGGATGTCTGACATAGACCACCCACCTTTCCTACAACTGTACATGAATACCAAGAGGAGAAGAAAGATGCACCTACTGGTGAGTAAACCGTAGGTACCTACTGACCTTACATATGCATGTTTCAACTCAAGTCAAACATAGCTGGTTCAATAATGATGAGCTTCAAAATTCTAAAATGGTCCAAGTCACCCCCTTTTACAGCCAATGAAATTCATGAATAACCTTTAAATTTTATCCCAAAGCTCTAGCACATAATTCTAATTACTGTTATATTTTGCTAGAATAATAATGTTAATACAAATAAGGTTATTACAAGGGCTATTCAGAAACTAGGGAACATATTGTAATAAAATAAAAATTGGGTACAGGAAAATTATTTTATCATTTACATCTGAAATAGTGACTAAAATGCTACTTTTCTACATTGACACCAAACAAATGAAGGCACTTATTGTAGCAGTAGACAAGCTTCACATTTGTTTCATCTTAGAAATCTTCTGCAGCAATATCAGCCACTCAGTGATGCATGCTCAGAGCTCATCGTATTTATCAAAATACAATGTTGCTAGCCAGTTCTTCATCTTTGGGTACAAGTGAAACTCACTCGGTTCTAGGTTGATACTATAGGGGGGATGCAGGAAAATCTCCCATTTGAAAGAGTCAAGAAGTTCTGCAGATTGATTAGCCAGACTTCACATGGCAATGTCAGACCTCAAACAGCAAATTGAACTGCAGAACTTTTTGACTCATTCAAATGGGACATTTTCCCTTATCCACCCTACAGTACAGACCTAGCACCAAGTGATTTTCACTTGTTCTCAAAGATGAAGAACTGGCTAGCAACAGCGTTGTGATGACAACAATTAACTCCAGGCGTGAGTTGCTGAGTGGCTGAGATTGCAGGTGGCAGATATCTATGACAAAGAATGTTCAAAGCTTGTCCACCACTATTTGTTAATTTATTTGTTGACTATGTAGAAAACTAGCATTTTAGTTACTATTTCAGAAGTTTATAACAAAATATTTTTCCTGTACCCTGCTTTTGTTTTATTACAAAGCGTTCCCTAGTTTCTGAATAGCCCCTCATACATAGGTACATTAACAAAGGTTATATTTAAAAGAAGCAGGAACAATAACAATTTTACTCTTGATTGTCATTGTGGCTAAAACGTAAGTCCATTTTTAAGTTCTTTTAACTTTTTATAGTGCAATGCATGCCATTTTAATTTAATTTACAAAAAAATTCTCAGCAAGTTTGTTTGGCATTTTTCCAGTATATACCATACCATACCTACCTATATTCAAAATAGAAAGTATTTATTTAATTAATTAACCTCCATTTGCAAAAAAATACAGTCATGTGCACTTGCTTCTAAAACAAAAGATTGAAGTTTCAACTATAGATCTTGCATACCATGCTGATTTACCATAATAAAAATTGTTAAAAATTATAAAAACCTTCATGCACCTCAGTCTTAGACAACCAAGAGTCTCAGAAATATTCAGCCAAGATACCGTACCCAAAAGCAACTAATCATCACAAAACCCCAAGGCCCAGGGTAATGTCAATGCAAATAGGTATACCTATACCCGGTAGTGCTTAATGATTCCACTTCTCTGTAGATTGTGACTTTTGATCAATATGGAGATGAACAAAGATCTAATAGAAAACACAAATTTTTTTATCAATACGTATATGCCAGTCATATTGGACCACAATTCAATGCTGCAGATGAACTTGCAATTCTATGCAGAAAGATACCAATGTGATGAAAATAATGAACAATCACTTGACACTGACTCATGGTTGAGATAGTGAATAATATGCTTCACAAACTGAGAGAAACTTGAAACATGATAACAAAAGGAATGTGAATTTATCTTGAATAAATAATGAATCAAGTTTCATGATGTTTTGGTCCAGATAATAAATGGTTGTCAGCCCATGAATGAGATGGGACAGTCAACTCTTAATATTACAAATTAAATGCTCCACAAATTTTTTGGGAAACTCACCACTATTGGCTTTCAACTTCTTCTTCTTCTTCTTTTTGGCCCACTGGAAAATAAGAAATACTTTATGAGAAGGTATATTATGGAAGTTAGTTTGTATATACCATATATATATATATAGGTATGCATGTTAATAAAGATTATTATAGAGCCTATGACAAATCATCAATAATATAGCCCTGTCAGTATAATGAATCCTTTAAAGTTGAGATGCTATTGATTAATCAATTAGCAGCACAGGGATACTGTAGCTTTTGGCCACCTGTCTTTGCTGGTACCTGACACCTGCAGCCGTGGTAATGTACACTACGAATGTCTGCACTGATAATAAATTGCAATCTATGAAGAAGCATAACAGCAAACTCCAATCTACCATAATCCTACCTAGTTATTTTTGGGCAATGAGCTGAGCATCCTCAACTTTTATTGTGTCTTACTCCAAAGTCTGGCCACCATGGAGGAATTTTAGAAAAGGGTTATTCATTTAGTTATGCCTGAGGCATAATGCACTCCACCCAAATACTACACCAACCTAATTACAGGAGATACAGTTTAAGGTCATGGTGGAATCCTATGGAACAAAAAAATTTTTGCCCAGTTTGACTTGAGGCATCACGCACCCTGGCTAATGATTAGAGGTTATTGATTAGGTTCAACTAGCTTAATGAAAGACTTGCATCAATGTATATAACAGTTATTTTTTTCTCATAAAGTTAACATAAGATAATTGACTTTATATAGCAAGCATTCAAGTTTCCTCCTTTTCAGAAATAATATATGCCAAAACAATTAATTTTATCCAACTAAACATATGAATATACACTGTTGATATGGTAATTATATTAACATACATACTTGAACAAATACATGTATTGAATTACATAACACATAATATAATATCAAAAAATGCAGATTAAATTATCTTTTTGAGTATGTTTATGCTCCTGGAATAGACATTCAGTTTTATTAGAAGAGATTTAACTGAGCAGTTTGACTTATTAAGCTTATTTAGCAAAAATATAACTCAGGTCTTGTCTATTCAAAATGTTCTCAGAGCAGCAGCTCTATGCTTGACACTTCGTGTGCGCAACTCCAATCAATGCATGAACATCATGCACAACATTTGAAGTTATTTTACAACATTTAAAAAGTCAACCTCCTACTTATCTGAGAATGAACTTAGGTGATGAATGCTTCTTACATAATTCAAGGCCTAACTTAGACAATTATTGCATTGTAGGTATACATAGCAACAAAAATTTATCTTCAAAAACCTGCCTCTTAAAGCATCTAACCAACACAAACTTTGCCATATCTCCAAAACATAGTGCAATTCTATAGGTATGGTAATATAAAAGAACATGGTTTTATGACATTTTGAAACAATCAATGCTTCTTTACAGACTGCCACTCAACACACTAGCACCTTCCCAAACAAAAGATAGGTAGCTATGCAGTGGATGAACGAAAGGGGCAGGCCAGCGTTGTGTTGGCAGCAAGCTGCGGCATCAGCTGTGGCAGCTAGCCTTGTTTGCTGGCGAATTTTTAATTTGAAATATAAGGCATGGATGAAGTGTGGTTTCAAGTCTGTAACAGCCTGAATTTCAGCCTAAAAATATAAAAAATATGTAACTCAGTACTCACTGCAGTGAGTGAAAGAGAGCACATTTTCTTGTTGACGAAAGCTTGAGGTCACGGACAGACGGGCAGACAGACAGACGGATGGATGGACATGGCGAGCACAATAGTGCATTTTTTTCCATAAATGAGAAAATGTGCTAAAAATGTATGTTTCTGCATGGACTTCAATTCTGCTAACATTGAGAAACTTCAAGAGTATCTTTCATACAAAAAATACTTGCTACATTAATTTTAATTTGGAGTCACATTTACAGCCAAACTAAAATTTATTTACAGAGTCTTTATAACAAGATAGATACTCTGAAGTTTCTCATGATTAACAGCATTGAAATACATGCAGAAATTATAATTTTTTCATATCTTTTAGGCTCCTAAAGACTTGAATCTGCACTTCTTCCAGGCCTCTTCCTTTCATATTCAAAATTCCCAACCAAGCAAGCTTCCACCAAGGCGTAGTTTTCACCAAAGAATAGTTTTACAGTAAGGTTCATTGTGGACAGAAGTACCATGGATTATTGATTGGTAATTTCATGCATTAGGTACTACATGTAAAGGCTAAAAATCATTGTAAAAGTTGTATCCCCAGATTTCCATGCTTTGATACTAATTAAATTCATCACTTGAAATTATAATTTTCAAGTAAAATATGAAAAGTCATCATGTGAACTCTCTATTACTATTTTAAATTAACTAAATTTATGGTGCATAGTTTTCTATGAAAAACAACCATGAGAAAAAAAAATAGGACAAAAAGCATTATTCATTCTACTATAAGTAGAATGAAATTAGGAATATAGAATAAACTTCATTTGTTGATATTCAATAATAATATGAATTAATTATTCAACTTTGAAAAATTGAATAAGAAGTGAAGCATATTACAAATCTAGAGTGGCCCAAGGACAGATTGCAGCGCCAGCAGTGGCAAGCAAATGAACTACCGGTACTACTTTATTGTTTAGTTGGTTAGATTAATAAGTTAATAATATTGTATTCTGTTTATGCAGTCTCTTAAAGTGTTCCAGCAAGATATTTCCATGATGAATTATTTATTTATTTATAAATTTGTGGCTTAATAAGTTCTTGCATTCTGTGACTCACAGGCGATGGATAATGTGTGTGCATGGGACATCACACCTTGTTCCTGTGGCTAATTCGGAATGCTTTTATTTTGCGTCTGGCAAATGACATATAGCTTATGACTTTTTGAAGATGCCATTCAATAGCCCTCGCAAAGAGCTTTAAAATGAGCTCAAACTCGTTTCTGAAATGTTTCATGGTTAGAAGTTATCAACAAAAAACGCTCAAAACCGTCCCTTATTACCCCGTTTGATGGTATTATAAGTTTTCTGTCTCTTGTCCCTTGTCAAAATGTATCTGTGTGTTGCTCCAATGCTTGTGCGCACAAGCGGGGACGGCCAGAAGTTGCGACAAACTGTGCGCAGCAATGGCTTAAAAAAAGTCATAATGCGTGGGAAAATTACGTGAAAACAAACATCATCCTGAGTGTGGATTTTTATAGTTATTTATGGCAATTTGGGAACAATGGAAGTAACCAAGAAATTTCACTGGTCAGAATGACCACGGATTTGTACGGAAAATGTTTTCCTGGCAATAGATCATTGCCCAATTGTGCCAAACTCAGCCAATTACAGTGCAGAGAAGAGAAGCCTAGAAGGACAAAATTTATATTGTTTGAAGAATTTTCATCATGTTGATTTGGAATCTCAAAAATATTTACATAGGTATTAATTAATTCATTCAATTGCTGGAAATGCATTATGCCATGTTTAGGCAACACAAACAAATGGTATAGTTGTTTTCTATAGGGTAAACGCGGCATATTCCGACATTGTGGGTAATTCCAACACTTATTGACTTTTTTCCTTTTTCTTAGTTCCATGCATTTGTTGTTGGTAGAAATAGTGACGTCATACTCTTGCATGCCATACTAATGCCAAAACACTAGGTCTGGGCCGTCTGGCGGGAAAATGTTGAGATCCAAAGAGAGACAGTGCGCGTCATCCAGCAAGAACATCGAAAAATGTGTCAAAGTTTAGAGTTGACCTTGCTCTACCAAATAGTGATAAACTGTCTGTGTAGAAAGAATATTATGGTTTGAGACTTTTAAATAAGTCTGTGAATATATTAGGAATCCTTTAAGTATACTTGTATTTGTTGATTTCAAGTCGTAAATAAATTAATAGATGATTAAGTTAAGAGACGGTTATAGACACATAAAAACTAATTCTGACACAGCTTGGAATTAGACACTCGATAGACAATTAGACACAGCTCGTTCCAAGCTGTGTGCCAAAATTAAAATGCTCTTTATTAAAACCTTAATAGCTCTTAATTAAAAGCCTAAATAAGTAGTCTTCAATATTCAATAGTGTTCCAATTCCAAGCTGTGTTGTATTCCAATACAGCTCACACAGGCGACACAGCGACCGGAATTTTAACACAAGAGTGTTGGAATTACGAATTAATAGTTTGAAGCGCGGCCGGAATTAGTCTCACAAAATGCCTAATTTAGTCACACACAGTGTCGCACTGCGCCGGAATATATGGATTTGGTAGCTCTGCATTCTAAAGGCTTTTGAATAAATATGGCAACATTTTGCAACGTTTCATTGTTGCTGGTGCATAGTGCAGTGTTTGGAGAGTGACGTAAAGCAAACAGAACTTGAGTAGCGCATACAGTGATTTTTTTATAGCCATTCATTTTTTGCTACATCCTTAAAGTGTTGGAATATACTGCGTTTACCCTAATAGCAAAATGTTTGAATTGGTTCTTTATTAAAAATTATTCAGTTTTCACTGTAGCATGGCAACTTTAGTGAGGTGGCAACTTTCGTGGCATTGACGTGATGGTAGTTGTAGCTGAAAAGGTAGATTATATTGCACACATGTACAGACTGTACTCAGTGTACTGTCCTGCTTTAGATGATATTTTCTAATATTTTTAACCTTTGAACATTAAAAACTACCGTAAAATGGGGTAACTTAGACCGGCGGGGTAACTTAGACCACTTTTCGTTTTTTTAACAAAAACCCCCACAACTCAAAAACT